CTTCCTCTACCTCTTCCCCGATAGGAGCCACGGCCACCACTCCTTCCTCCTTGTTGGACTCCAGTGGTAACTTGGAGAGTTTGTTCATCCATCACATGTTGACCCATCCTTTGTTCATGCACAAGCAAACTGCTCTGAAGTTCATCAATGGATAGAGTATCCAAGTCATTCGACTCCTCAATCGAGCAGACCACATAATCAAATTTTGATGTCATAGACCTCAAAACTTTCTCAATGATCACTATATCCTGCATTCTTTCTCCATGCACCCTCATCTTATTAGCTATGGTGAGTGTCCTCCCAAAATAATCATTGACAGTTTCTCCAGCCTTCATATGCAATACTTCGAACTCCTTTCGAAGTGCTTGCAACTGAGCACGCTTCACACGTGCAGTTCCTTGGTATTTCTGCTTCAAGGAATCCCATATGTCCTTCGCCGTGTCCTTCTTCAAGATCATTTCAAGGATAGAGCGATCAATGGCCTGAAACAAGTAGTTCTTGGACTTCAGGTCTTTCAGCTTCAGTTCCTCCAGTGCCTTCTTCTGTGAATCACTAGAGTCCGCTCCTCCTGCGACTGCAATGATCCCCATCTCCACCAGGTTCCAATACTCCTTGGAACGCATAAAGTTTTCCATAAGCATGCTCCAGTGATCGTAGTGCCCATCGAGCCTGGGGATGGCAAGTTGCACAAAATTGTTCTCGGACGTCATATTCTTGTTCTTTCACGCAAGAAACTATGTTTGCTGGTTTTGGTCAGGCCCCTGTGATGGGGCTCTGATACCAGATGTTGAAACTGAACTGGGTTTACGTGAAGTTTTATGAATATGAACACAAAGTATTTTGCACTGGATAACTCAAAAGCATTCTTCTATTACTGAAAGACCTCGACCAGCTATTAAATAGCCTTACATCAACAAGAAAGTGAAATAACAACCCACGATAACAACAACCCTAGAATCTGGTAATCGACTAATTCAAAAACAGATAACAAACTTGTCCCTCAAGTATAGGAGGGTTATTAGCACGTCCAGGGAATAAACCCTAGAAACAAGGAAACCTATCAACTAGAATCTTTGACAACTTCAACAGATCTCATATTTTTCATGTCATCACTTAACGTATTTTCTAACGGATGTATGAAATTGAAATAAAATGATAAGTAAATATATGAAATTGAAATGTTTTAAAGATGTAAAAAGTTGCAATCGAGGATAAAATGTAATTTATCCAAAATTTTTTAACACATCCCACTTAAAATTTCAATATTAAATGATAAAGATGCCTTGATATGGAATGAGTAAGTGTTACACACTCTTAAGTTAAAGCCTACTGAAATTATGCACAGCTTTTGTAGGAGGCCACTGAAAGTTTATATAGTTTCGACAAATACTCGTGGAAAACTTGCATTATTTTGGTTCTAACTACTGATGTTTTAAAACAATTTAATATTGATATGCTGAAATCAAGGTTCAAAAAGATGTTAGACGCTAGTGAGACGGTTGGTTGGGACTTAGTGCTTAAGCGGCTAGGTGGTGCCTTAGGGGACTAAGCAGATTTAAGTAATTTATTATATATTGTATAAATAAGTGTCTATTTATATTTAAAAAAAAACACATAATTGTATACATGAATTGCAAAATAATATGACATATAGATTATAAAGTATTAGAACATGTTGAAAACATGGGGAACAAGTATATAATGAGTGTTCACCCAAGTATTCAACAAGTGTCTTACATTTTATTGAAAAAATAAAATGCAAATGAAAATTATCGATTTTTTGTCTAAGTGAGAATCGCGACCTAGACGAACTTAGACGGATTAGGCAGGCAGGCACCTAAGCGGGTTTAGGTGCATTTTCTTAATTTTCAAACGCCTAAAGACTAATTAAGATGGTGACTAAACACGTAGTGTCTAGGCAACGGTAAACGGAGATTTTTAGAACAATGGATGCAACACCAATTATTTAGATTCTTAACGAGAAATAGAAGAAGTTTTGGGAAAATATTGTTGGAACTTATGCAAATTCAATTGGACGCTACAAAAGTTATAAAAAGTACGTGTGAGTGTGAGTAGTTTAGATAAGTTAGGTGGGTGTACTAAAATAATTATATATTTAAGAAAAACATGTGGAGTGATTTCGGTAAGTACTGTGCATTCAACAAATTGCGAGGACTAAATAAAACAACTTGATGTGTGCTCTATATTCTCAATGTTTATACAACATTATTAGGATTTTTATGACAACTAATCGTTTATGTTTTATATATTCATCAATTTGGTACTCAATGTTTCAAATTCATCAATGCCGTCCATTATCTGTTGCTCTACTCATTAATGTTGTCTCTTGTGCGACTTTGTTAGTCTACTTTCTTACGTTTACTCAGTTAGTTTCTACTTATTAAAGTGTTTTAAGCCATTTTCGTGTGTTTGTAGGTCCAAATGGCAAAGTTGGCAAGAAAAGGCAATTTGGAGCATTTTAGTGCAGTTTTAGGCTTGGAATGGATAGCACATGCATGAAGCAAGGTGGATGGACGTTTTTAAAGATCAAAAGAGGCTAGGAATGTGCTTAACATCTGAAGAAATTAATTCAAGACTCGGAAGATAAGGAATCAGCTGAAAGCAAGGAGATCTTATCCAACCTTATCTTATATTATCCCATATTATCCAAACATTATCCTATTTAATCCAACATTATCTAAACTCATCTCCAGCAGCAATAGGAGTCCTTATCCTATTTTAAATCTTTTCCCTCTGAATTTAGGAGTCCTTATCATGTTATACAATACATATCTGATTTTAGAAATCCTGAAATCATGCAAATAACCTAATCCTTCTTCTCTTAGAATTGTGCCATGCCCTATCCTTGTCCTCCAAGGATTGGTGATGTGAACCCTACCCAATATATACACATTTATGCCGCACAAAATAGAGAGGGGGGACCTTAGAGAGAAATTAAGAGAAATTAAACACTTTGTGTCGCAGCTTTGTGAGGAAGGAGAGTTTGGAGCCGTGCCTGCCATCCAAAGCCTTTGGGATTGCTGGAGCGTTTCTAGGTGTATTATATCCTTAGTTTTAGTCCAATATTTGTTTTAATTTGGTTTTCAATTATGATGAACATGTGGAACTAATTTCGTTTTAGCTAGAGGTGAATTCAAAACCATGAACATATGTGTGATATGAATTGATTACATCCAGTTATTGTTTCATAAATCATGAATGCAATTTACTTATCTGTTTGATTGATAATTTATTCTTGTATGTTGATTAAGGATGCATACTTAGTTTGCATGCATGAATTTGATGCTAAAATATAAGGGAATTTCACCTAATAGTTATGAACGTATATTTACAAGTAGTAGAGGTTGCTAGTCACGATCGCGTTAAGTAAATTCCTAGCTGGAGTATCATGCAGTTCATAGTTACGAATGCCATGTCCATGCTTATGATTTTCACAGAACTTAATGATCTTTGATATGTATCTCTATTATGCAGTTCATGTAGGGAACTTGATAAGAATAATTTGGTTGCGTCGTTGAGTCCAATTTAATGAAATTAAGAAAATCTAAGAGTTAATTTGTGTAGTTCACAATTGATTTGGGACATTATCATTCATGGTTTATTAGAATAATAATTGGAAATCGATTTGTATGCATATGTGTCATGTGTGGAGATGAACACTCTAGCTAGCCATTCACCCCATTAAAACATCCAATTTCGTCTAAAGTTGTTTAGAGTCTTTAAATCTGTTTGTTTTTACTTTAAATTCGTCAAAACCCACTTCCCATTTATATTTCGTGTCTTTTAGTTAGAATATGTTCAAACTGGTTTCTTTCTAGTGTTTTGAGTCAACATAAGTTAGAATTCGTCCATACACATTGTTTTGAGTCAATTTGTTTATTTTGTGTAGTTTTGAGTAGTTTGAGTCATAAGAGTTTAGTTAAGTGTAGTTGAGTCTAATTTGAGTAGATTAGCAGTCTCTCATAATATCCGACCTAGAATGATTCCTACTTTCACATATTACAACTATCAAAAAAAAAATTTTAATTTGTATGTTAGTTTATATCACATTATCTCTAACGGAGTTAGATATGAAAAACAATTTTGATCTGTAGCGCAATAGACAAGGGACGACAAATGAATTTACAAAACATGATGGAAATTTGTGATAAGAACCCCCCACATTATTTTACAACATTATGTACTGGCTTTCTCATACGTAGAGCCCACTAATTAAGGCTCTGCTGAAGATGTGGTGCACAACATAGCACAATGATGTACTCTCTTTTCATACGTAAATGTCTTTTTAGCAGCTATGGCCTACAGTTGCACAAATTATTACATGCATAGTTGATTTTTACATAAAAAGCATCCCAATTTCAAAAGTAAGAACCAGCTTTCGGTTCCCTCCGCAAATCATGCACGTACACCTTTGTCAACTTTACACAAAAATCGAAGTTGGGCATCTCATAAAAAATAAAATTCGGCTTATTTTTAGTTCCATCTTTAAAACTTGATTTTATTAAAAAGAAATTCATTTTATTATGTAACTAAAAAATCGTCAATTTACTATCTGAAATTCAAAATTTATTGCATTATACATTATAAAATTTAAAATTCGCTCCACATTACTTTAATTCTGTTACGTTGGCTTGATTTGAGATTTGAGTACACCAAGCTAATCAATGTCTTTTTTATTTTATCTTTGCAACTCAAGCACAACAACTTGAAAAAAAATTCAATTCTTAATTTCTTCTTTTAAACTTAATATTTTCTTATTGATGAATGTTAATGGATAGTAGAGATTTATAATCCAATTCATTGGCACATGTGACATAGTCTTATTGGGAGGTAGATCTCACATGTGTTTTAGGGGTGACCTTTTTGTTTTGGAACAAGAAAAAAATCCACAAATCAAAGTTAAAAGAATTTTGAATTTCAAACAAAAAGTTGCGAGTTTTGAATTAGAATAAACAAAATTTGATCAAAATCGAATTCCATGAAGCATAACCAAAAGTAACCTTAAAATTAACCAATATGATAAGACAACACCACCTAGTAATGTTCATGTCACGAGATAAATAAAATTAATTAAACAAGCTAGAGAAAGAAAAGGACTGAATTATTCATCCTAATTAATATAGATTATATGATAATTAGGTATAGCCTTGCTTGTATTTGCGGAAAAGGTCTTCGGTTTTGGCATTCCGAAAGGCACAGCAGCCTATCAAATAAACGGCAACGAGAGCAATGAGAGTGATGATCAATATAATGTTGGCTCTTCTCCATTCTTTCTTGAGATTAGCAAGTAATCCAGCTTTGCAGGAATCGCAGTTGAAGCAAAGTTGGGTCTGGTCGTTGTTCCAATTCAGGCAATCCATGTCGGCTGCGTTGTTGATGGGACTTATCCAGTACGTTGGATTCACGAACGTGTAACCACATTGTGTGGGTGGCTTACAGCATCCTGACTGTAGACATAACAAATTAAATTAGACAAAAGAAGAATCATCGCCACAAGGAATAAAGCATAAAGATGTATTAGAACTTGCACTAACACAAGGAATAAAGCATAAAGATGTATAAGGTTAGAACATCTCTAAGAATCTTGATAAATTTACAGTTTAAAACATATTAATATATTTTTTTTTAAATGATAGCATTAGTGGGTTAAGTTGTTGAGTATTAGGAGGAGAATGATCGGTGGAAATCGAATTTGCACTGGAGTATATAAATACTATTATTTTTCGCCATTGTAATAAAAAGCCATCTCCAAAACATATTAAACTGAAGTACTTAACAGTTGAGTTTTTGGATCAAACAGAAATGAAAATAATTATCGTTAATTAATTAATTTGAAGACCTGGAAATTATAGTGGGATTTGGAAAAGAAAAAGAATTTTCAACTGATAGATTTACAGAAATTCAATATTGGCCCTATCAACCGTGAATAGGACTCGAAAGAAAAAGAAAATTAGCGCAATTAGTTTTCTAGCTTGCCTCAAGAAATTGTACAATAAATTACAGAAAATAGCTAACAAAGAAAGTATGTTCAAGATCTTATATTATCTCTCATTTAACCGGATCTTATACATACACACCTACGAGATTAAAACTATTTTTCTAAAATCTCTTTTTTTATAAATAAAAAGCCCAATTCCTTAAGCACTCCAAACACGTAATTGTTTCATTAGAAATTATATTCAAGTTGCTTTAAATTAATTGATTGAATAAAACTTGAAAAAGAATAAAAATTTAAATTAATTGATGTTGGAAGAAAATGATACAAAATTGTTTACCTGTAAGGGGGTAATGTGAGCGTTAAAAAAATCCTGAGCCATGCTGTAACTCTGATTCAACTCAGCGCACATATTTGTAGAACTAAGACAAGTTCTTATGCGTTCCCACTTAAAAGGGCTTCGAACTCTACGGCGAAGCCAACCGGAGTAATCATCAAGATGATATTCTAGGTAAGACCGGCTCGGTTCGAGGTGGCCGGAGCCTCTAATAGTGACCATGTAGATGAAAACCACCAAAGCAGCAAGCAAGATTATAAGAACCAGCATGGCAATGAGGTAACAGATAAGGAGCCATGGGATCCTCCAAAACGCTCCCACAAAGCCGGCGATGGCCACAACCAGGAACAAGATGCCTAAAATTATGACAGGCCATTGTAAAAGTTTTACACAAGAATTGTCTGGCTCTGTTGCGAGCCAAATTCCTGTACCAATGATTGGGATTGAGAGGAGCATCGCAACGAAGTTGATGGCTCCGATGACATTGTTGCTAGGTGCCATTTCGGTCTCTAGATCGATATGTTCCTCTCCTGTTTAAAAACAAAATTTAGTAAGGCAGGAAAGATATATCTCAGGCCATATATCAAAGGGTAGGGAAAAGAAATTAAGGTAGAAGTAGCAAAAGCCAGAAGGGCCAGATTCTTTTATTATACAAGGGAGTATGGGAGAGGAAAATCAAGCGCAGAACCTCGAGTTCAGATTTAACCTTTAAACCCTTTTGGCATCAAAACCAACACTTTTTGTTCCTTCCCTTGGATCCATGTAAAGATAGTAAAGCAAGTGGGAATGATTTATTTTTGTTGGAGTTTGAGACCCTCTTGTCCCACATTGGTTAACAATATTTTTGAATAATAAAGTATAAGTATTTCGGTTCTGTATTTCTGTTATTTTATTGTTTCTAAATTGTTCTCCAACAATCTTCGAACAGTATGGAACAATCGGGAACTAAACCTCATTCTGAGAAACCTGAGAAATTTAAGGGCGGAGACTTCAAAAGATGGTAGCAGAAAATGCTGTTTTATTTGACAACCTTGAATTTGGCTAATGTTCTGCGCGAGACTGTACCTACTGCAGATGGAGAAAATATTTTTTCTGCAGAAACTTTAATGGCTATAGATGCCTGGAATCATAATGATTTCCTCTGCAGAAACTATATTCTCAATGCATTAGATGATTCATTGTATGATGTCTATGTAGTATGCAAAACAGCCAAGGAACTTTGGGAATCACTTGAAAAAAAATATAAAATTGAGGATGTTGGTTCGAAGAAATTTGTCTTGGGCAAATTTTTGGACTACAAAATGGTGGATTCCAAGTCCGTTGTCTCTCAAACTGAAGATCTCCAGAAAATCATCCATGACATTCATGTTGAAGGGATGGTGATCAATGAGTCTTTCCAAGTGGCGTCCTTTATAGAAAAATTGCCACATTCTTGGAAAGAGTTCAAGAATTATCTCAAGCACAAACGTGAAGAGATGACCCTTGAGGATCTCATTGTAAGGCTGAGAATAGAGGAAGATAACAGAAAGAATGAGAAGAGCCTGGTTTTGAGTATGGAAGCCAAGGCGAATGTTGTTGAAGGAAGTTCATCAAAGCAAAGGCCGAAGTTCCAAAAAACTAAGAAGAAGGAAAAACACTTTATCCCTGGTGCGAAAGGCAAAGACTTCAAGAAAATCAAGGGAAGTTGCTGGGTTTGTGGAAAGCAAGGCCATAAGGCTCAAGAATGTCGCCATCGAAGGGATCAAGGTCCTGGAAATCAAGGCAACAATAACCGCGCTAACCTGATTGAAAACAATGTGGATGCCTTGGCTGCAATGATTTCTGAAATCAACCTTGTATCTGATCACGATAATTGGTGGATAGATACCGGTGCAACTCGCCATGTGTGTGGTGACAGAAATATGTTCTCTTCGTACCAGAAAATCGAGGGAAACGAGCAGCTGTTTATGGGAAATGCATCTGCATCTGTTGTGGCTGGAATAGGGAAATGTGTTCTGAAATTCACTTCTAGAAAGGAATTAACCCTCCTTGATGTGCTACATGTCCCCGATATAAGGAAGAATCTTGTTTCTGGTCCTATCCTTAGTAATAAAGGATTCAAACTAGTTTTTGAGTCCAATAAGTTTGTACTCACTAAAGGGGGAATGTTTGTAGGGAAGAGTTACCTTGATGATGGATTATTCAAACTAAATGTACTTGTTAATGCTATGAATGAAATAAATAATGCTTCTGCTTATATTGTTGATTCGTCTAATTTATGGCACTCTAGGTTAGGACATGTAAATTTTCGTTCACTTTTTAGAATGCATAATTTAGGTTTGCTGCCCAAAATTGATTATCTAGATAATGTTAAATGTGAGACTTGTACAGAATTGAAATTTGCGAGTCAAAGCTTTAAATCAGTGCATGAAAAGTCCAATGATTTATTAGATTTAATTCATAGTGACTTGTGTGATTTTAGATCATATCCAACTCGTGGTGGAAAGAACTATTATGTAACATTTATAGATGATTTCAGTAAGTATTGTTATGTTTATTTACTTCATAGTAAAGATGAGACCTTGGATATGTTTAAGATATATAAGGCAGAAGTTAAGAATCAACTTAATAAGAAGATTAAAGTCTTAAGGTCCGATAGGGGAGGAGAATATGAGTCTCATGCCTTTGCTGAATTTTATGCCACACATGGCATAATTCATCAAACAACAGCCCCTTATACACCGCAACAAAACGGTGTTGCCAAACGAAAAAATAGGACTTTTAAAACATGATCAATTCTATGTTGAATAGCTTTGGGCTTCCACACAATTTGTGGGGTGAAGCTTTACTTACTGCAAATAAAATTTTGAATCGAATTCCACCTAAAACGAGAAAGGAGTCACCATATGAATTATGGAAAGGAAGAACCCCCAACGTTTAAATTGCTTAAAGTGTGGGGTTGCCTGGCAAAAGTACAAGTACCATTGCCAAAGAGAACAAAATTAGGGCCTAAAACTATAGATTGTGTTTTTATTGATTTTGCATCTAATAGTTTAGCTTATAGATTCTTAGTTTTTCATTCCGAAGTCAGTGATATACATGTCAATACTATTATAGAATCTATAAACGCAATATTTTTTGAGGATATATTTCCATACAAAATAGGCAAGTCTAATTTATTGAAAAAGAGATTACATGATGATGTATCTGAGGTTAATGACGAACCTAGAGAACATGATGATGGTTCATCCTCATCTAGAGTTCAGGAAGAAGAAGAACTTGAACCTAGAAGGAGTAAAAGGACAAAAATTCGAAAGGACTTTGGGCCTGATTTTGTGACCTTATTAACCGAGACAGAACCTCAATCATTCAAGGAGGCCATGTCCATTCCTGAAGCTCCATTTTGGAAGGATACAGTTAACAGTGAGATAGATTCCATTATGCAAAATCATACATGGGAATTAGTCGATTTGCCCCATGATAATAAGCCAATTAGGTACAAATGGATCTTTAAGAAGAAATTAAAACCTGGTGGTACGATTGACAAATATAAGGCTCGTTTGGTAGCTAAAGGATATCGTCAAAAACATGGTTTGGGTTTCTTTGATACATACTCGCCTGTAACGAGAATTACGTCAATAAGACTGTTGATTGTTATAGCTGCACTCCATAACATGGAAATACATCAAATGAATGTAAAGACTGCATTCTTAAATGGAGACTTAGATGAGGAAATATATATGGAACAACTCGAGGGGTTTGTGGTTAAAGGTCAAGAACACAAAGTTTGTAAACTTGTGAAATCACTATATAGGCTTAAACAAGCTCCAAAGCAATGGCATGAAAAATTTGACCATATTATGATAACACATGGTTTTAAGATAAACGAGTGCGATAAGTGTGTCTACACAAAAACTCAAAATAATGCTTGCGTTATGTTGTGTTTATATGTAGATGATATGCTTATAATGGGAACTAACAAAGAGATAATAAATTGGACCAAGAAGATATTGAAATCAAGTTTTGATATGAAAGATCTTGGATTAGCTGATGTGATTCTTGGTGTAAAAATAAAAAGAAACCAAGAAGGATATATTCTTACTCAATCCCATTATATAGAAGCTACACTTAGAAAATATGGTCATTTGGAAAGTAAAGATGCAATTACTCCTTTTGATGCCAATAGCAAACTTAAGAAAAATAGAGGTGATGCTATATCTCAATGTGAATACTCACAAGTTATTGGAAGTCTTATGTACATTATGAACTGCACAAGGCCTGACATAGCATACTCAGTGAGTAGACTGAGTAGATATACATGCAATCCTGGGCATGATCATTGGGAAGCTTTAATTCGAGTATTGAGATACTTAAAGCATACAATGAATTATGGATTGCATTATACAAGGTATCCTCATGTGCTTGAAGGATTTACTGATGCGAATTGGATATCGGATAGTAATGATACAAAATCCACAAGTGGATATGTATTTACTTTGGGAGGATCAGCAATATCTTGGAAATCTTCTAAACAAACATGCATAGCTCGATCAACTATGGAATCGGAATTTATAGCTCTCAATATGGCTGGAGGAGAAGCTGAGTGGCTAAGAGATTTTTTGGAGGATGTTCCCATACGGCCTAAACCTGTAACGGCAATATGTATACACTGTGATAGTTTAGCTGCACAATTTCGAGTTAAAAATAGTGTATACAGTGGGAAGTCTAGACAAATTAGACGAAGGCATAATACAATAAAGCAATGGCTCTCTAGTGGTGTAATTTCTATTGACTATGTTAAATCAAAAGATAATATTGTGGATCCGCTTACTAAAGGTTTGTCTAGAGAGCAAGTTAAGAGCACATCGAGGGGAATGGGTTTAAAGCCAATAGAGTAAAATGAAACTGCCAAACGGAAACCTAACCTAATTGATTGGAGATCCCATGGTCTAGGTTCAATAGGCAAACTGGTTTAGTTAGATTCAAGAAGAAACACACTTACATACCCATTCCTGTGATGGAAGAAGTGTGGTGACTGCTGATAATGTAGGATACATTAGTTTAATGATATTGATACTTGTAAATCAAGTGGAATAGTAGCAGCCTATTCTTAATCAATATCAAATCAAGTGGAATAGTAGCAACCTATTCTTAATCAATATCACCTATATGAGAGTAAATGTAGGGTTGCATTTATGAGAATTACATGGCTACATTCTCTAAAGCTCTCATGAATCCAGGATTTGTTCATGACCAAAAAGAACACAAACGTATGAATTTGTGATGTGTAAATGTGGCATATGTTTTGCTTATTGTCTTGGTTTACTACGGAGATGAACAGTTCAAAATTTTATATTCACTGCATCATCTAGTAAATCCGATAAGTATATACTAAGGTAGGTTCAAGTCCAAAAGACACCTCTCCTGATGTATGTCACATCTATTGTTTACTCTCGTATCTTAGTGTGTCTAGGACCAAAGAGTCATCTCAAATGTGGGGTATTGTTGGAGTTTGAGACCCTCTTGTCCCACATTGGTCAACAATATTTTTGAATAATAAAGTATAAGTATTTCGGTTCTGTATTTCTGTTATTTTATTGTTTCTAAATTGTTCTCCAACAATTTTAAGGCGCGTTTTGATCTTTAGGTTGGACAATATTGTTATTCATACACCTATTTTTATTTCTCACATACTCTTGTAAAATTTTATTATTGATATTCTTCAATACAACTACTAAAATTAAGATAAATGTATGTAAAAAGTAACAATTGATGTGTGGATAGCACTACCCATTAGGTTTTATCACATACTTTGAGTATCACATTTTTGAAAAAGAATACCTTGAACAGGATGAAGGAATTTGAGAAAAAAAGACCAGTTGCAAGCAACTTATGCATAATCATGGAAAGATTTAGAAGGAAGCAATTATCTCTGTACAATAATGCTTTTGGCAGCTGCATCCACATGAATCGGGCTTTGCCCTAAAAATTTTGCATTGCACAAGGAAAACAACTTCTATGGGTTCACTGTCATCGTGGCTTTCCATGCATTCCAATAAAATAATGATATGAGTAGGGCTTTAAAAAATACATTGTATTATTAGAACAAGACATTACGTAACAATGAACACGTTTTATTTAAGTCATCTTTTGCACAAGACCCCAACTAAAATAAGTTAGGGTTTTAAAATTTGAAGTCTTTGGAGTTGGCCCAGGTATAGAACTAGGGATTAATTTTTCAAATTCCTTTAGATATGAGGGATCACATTCTTTGTTTTACCATAAAACTATCTATTAAACATTCTGTCTATGGCATTATAGACTCTTTGTATGATTCTAACGAATTCAGTACGCATTTTACACTCATTGTTTCTTATTCTAAAGGTAAAGCCGCCATACATAATTCATAAACACTTTGTAATAGCTATAAAACTTTTAACAACAGCAGAAAAAAGTTTGTTGTTTGACATGCAACTAAAGATGTACGTTTGCAATGTAAGGAATTACTTTCAATACCCAATAGATTTTTTTGTTGAAAACTGACAATAGGGGGCAAACTGGCTAATTCTTGCTAGTTCAGGGTAAATTGGCAAAAGAGTGCTAATTCAAGGGGGTACATAGCCGTTTACTCAAATAAAAGTGCCTTAGTAATGATAAATTTTTAAATAATATTAGAAATATATTTTTAAAAGCACTTTTACTTACTAAAAGTGTTTTCAACTGGAAGCATATTAATTTTTTTTAATAAAGTTAGAAGTGTTTACTGAAAAAAGCATATAACGGGTGTTTCTTCTCGTACACGTGAAATCACTCATTGTAAATAACAATCGTGCCGGTGGAAAATCCTGGCTTTAAGATATATTATAAAATCACAACAATAAGACATTAGGATCACAGATTCAATAAACCAAATTACAATGAACCAATTACAATTAACTTATCATGGCCTGAAGATATAGCATTGTTTGGATGGTATACTATCGACCACTCAAACTACATCCAAAAGGTGTTGTGCCACTTTAATGAAGATATAATGAAGGCTTTGAGTACTCCTATGGTTGTTCGAACTTTAGATGCAAAATGAGATTAATTCCGTCCTAAAGATGAGGATGAAGACACTACTACTGTAAATAGCTTTCGCGAGGTTAAAGCATCCACAAATTTTACAGTTACATACTAAGAAAATATTTTATTTGTCCATAACAGCTAAATAAAACAGCTACTGTTGTGGTGGTGTTTGTGCAACTTGGTCAGCATGATGCTTCTATTCTAGGTACATTCATCAACTTTTATTATAATAATGCAATAAATTTTTCCAACAAAAGACAACCATAAAATTCATACAAAATTGAGTATTTCCTATCCAAGATCCTTCTCCTTTGTATGTCATGATTGGTTTACTGTCTGATGCTTGTTCCATTGGACCAGCAGCAGAATTGAGTATCTACAACATCATAATTTCCGTATATTCGAAAATGCACAACTTATGACAGACCATTTAAAAACAAAATTAATTACTAAAACAAATTTGTTCTTTATTTGGATGTATAGAGACTTACCTAAGAAATCGAAGATCGTCGACAATGAAAGCATAGGAAAAAGGAAACGAGAACTGGGATATGGGGGGAGAGAAAGTTTTGGAGTTTGGAGGATAGAAAATTTTGGAGTTTGAAGGAGAAGAAAATGAGTGGTTTGGGGAAAATGATGAGGAATAGATGAATGAGAAGAAGATAGTGGATATGGAATAGATAAATGCAAACCTTAGGCGACGAAACATTCGTCACCGAAGGTTTGCATTTATTTTTCACCATAATTATCTCACCGACCAGTTCAAACACTTTGCAACAAAGGCTGTTGTTCGTCATGCTAGACTAAAATGGGGACAAAGGTTTTCTTGCACAAAAAAAAGTTTGTCGAGTAATAAATTGGCACCAAATCATTATTTTCGCATTTTTTCTAAAGATTGTGCGACAAATTATTCAGTTCGTCGTGTGAAGTCCTCTTATGCAACAAACTTCTTCATCGCCAGAATTTTTCAATTTTTTTTTTTTTGATGAGATCAGTTGGTGCAACAAATCGCAGATTTTGTTGCACAAAAAGCACTTGTGCAATGAAACTGCCTGGTCACCTATAGTTTTGACGTGCAAATAACTTTTTCTACTAGTGAGAGGTCTTGGAACTTGAAGTTCCTTATTATACTTGGTTCAATGCAATACACCATACATCTTCTTTGCTGTGAATCTTTTAGCATGATACATCAATGCACTTACATGCAAACACTGGATATGTGCGAAAGACATCCTACATTACCTTAAGAGTACAATGGGTATGAACTTATTTTATCCCTACACATTACTGAGTGGATCCAACCCCTGAGCGACCTAGTGATGTTCATTTTATTGGTTATGCTAGCACTAGTTATTTATCTAACCCGACAAGACACGTTCTCAAACAGGTTATGTCTTTACTGTTAGAGATATAACAATATCTTGAAAATCAACCAAAAACGAGTTTGTTGCTATGTCTTCAAATCACGCTGAGATTCTTGCCCTACATAAAGCATCATGTAAATGCTTTTGGTTGAGGGGTGTGATTGATCGCATAAGAACCTCATGTGGTTTTTCTTCCATCATTGTTGTTTTAGCAACGATTTATGAAGACAACGCTACATGTATCGACCAATTAAAGAAAAGATGCATTGAAGGCGAAAATACCAAGCACATTGCTGTAAAGTATTTCTTCACTCATTAGCAACAAAGGCATCACAAGGTTGAAGTTAAGCAGATCTGATCCCAAAACAATCTTGCTGACATATTCATGAAGTCACTACCAAAATCTCTTTTCATAAGGTTGTTCATGAAATTGGATTGTGTAAACATTCAGATTTGTATCACTAGTAGTTCTCATGGGGAGTCTTGTTGAACTCAGAAAGAGTATTTTAAAGTATACTCACATGATCTTAATGTATTATTTCCCTACGGGAGCACTTTTTCCCATTGCATTTTTACTAACCTGACGAGGTTTTGATGGTCATACCTTTGTGTGCATCAATGATCATCCTAAGGTTGTGATACATTGACATCCTATATTAACTCACCTTTTCTCCTTAAGACTATTGGATTACTATAACAAGGTTTTTGTGAGATTTTTCTTTTGATATGTGCCCCTACCATGAGACACGTGTTAGCAGTTATTGTACTTGGAGAGAACTGACGACAACAACTGCCACCTCCTAATCATATGTAGACCTAATGCGACTAATTCTTAAGTTGTACACACTCAAGAGAGAGTATTAATTAGGAATGTGAATATGTAACTTAAAGTAGAATCCCAATATTATTTGGAGATCAAATCCTCATAGGTTTGTACTTGTAAGGTAAGAAAACTCATCATGATTATTGTGAGTGTAATGCTAGAGAGACCAAAGTTTTAAACCAAATTTTGTGAACCAAATAATGTGGGTGTTGATGATTAGATTATTACTCAATTATTGATTAAAGTACTTATTTTTTATTGATGACACATTATTTGGTTTTAAAATTTGATTTCCCTAGTATTATTCTTATTATAAATAATGGTACAAGATCAAGAGGTGAAGACACAATTCTCATACATTTAAACTCTTCTCTCTTAGTCATCCCCTCTGTCTCACCCAATTTTATAATTAGTTTCACAACATAAGAAGTCATGGAATTTTATTTTATTTTTCCTAAATGTAATTACAATGTCGACTTTGAGCTTCCACCTATGAGAAAAAGTAATTATACGTGGGGAAGTACATATCATTGTTTGTATCTTAATCGAATAAATTCAATGATCGAAATCATTCAATCTATTAACTTTCATTTGAAGATCACTCTTAAAAAAACTTTTGAATTAGCGATCATTTAATCATCCATATATATCAACAAATAAATGAACGCTCATCATAAATATGTTACTTGGTACCTACACCTCGATTTGTATTATACATTTCAAATGAATAAATAATATTCAATTAAAAATTTTTTTTTTGTATAAATAATCTTCAAATAAAAATTAAGAAATTAAACAATTTCAATTATTACTTTGTTGAAGAGAATGAGGTCATTTGGCAAGGCAAGTATTATCCGAATATGAAATAGTGGCGACTTGGAGTTTCTACGCGGACCGCCCCTTATCCACTCCCTCCCTACTCTTCTGGACACAACATTCAAAACAATGGCGGCATTTGAGGCTGCACTCTCTGTCTCCTTCCTCTACTCGTCTTCTTTTCCTTGTTATTCCTCCAAACTCAACTCGTCCCCCAGACAATTGGCTCCCCTCAAGCTTCATATTCCCAATTCTACGCCTCCCAATTCCCTCGATTTTCTTCTTTCCGGTCCCCGACGCATCCCCACAAGAAAGCTCCGTTTTGAGCTGCTGTGCTCTGCGGTGGAGGAGATTACAGCAGAAGAAGAAAAAGCAGCAGTAGAAGAAAGCCAGCAGCAAAACCAGAAGAGAAAGCTGTACGTAGTGAATTTGCCATGGTCTCTGACTGTCGTGGATATCAAGAACCTCTTTGGCGAATGTGGGACTGTCAAAGACGTCGAGGTGCTTACATTTCTCTCCCTGTTTTGTTCCTTAAGATTTGTAATTTTCTTTTAGCAGAGCGATAAAGTTAATAGCTTAAAAATAGTTGGTTGTTAGGGGGTGGGATCGAACTGCATCAGAGTGTATAGGCATAATTACTTTCGGTCACTTTGTATTTGAAAAACTGAAATGTTGGGTAATAATATTAGTAAATGTTGGATTTTTCAGATTATAAAGCAACAAAATGGGAAGAGCAGAGGCTTTGCGTTTGTGACAATGGATTCCGGGGAAGAAGCTCAGGCCGTCATTGATAAATTTCACTCTCATGTAAGTTATTTAGGTATTCTATGATTGCCTTCGTTGTTGGTATTCTACTCACAATCTCAAATGGGGTTTTATTATTTCGAATGTTAAGCATGTACTCGGGCGATATCAATTGTATTATGGGTTACAGAGCTTGTGCTTTTGGGTTTGATAAGGAAAGTGAAGGTAATTTACGACATTGGAGTGGCGTGCGATAGATACAAGTTTATCTCCTTCTGTTCAAATGGCCAACACAATGAAATTAATTGTTTCTTAAGAACTTAAAAGTCTTGTTCTTTTCGAGTTTTCTTTGATACACTGAAGTGGTCTAAATAAATGAGTCTGGTAATGGTTCGAACTGTACCAAAGTATCCTTGTATGATATTTTCATTGCAAATGTTTTGTTTTATAGAGATGGAAATGATCATTAAGATTGAAAGAATATAATTACTGGTTGTTTTATTTACAGAGGCGGTACTATGTTGGATAATTTAGCACCTATTTTGTTGCACGCCTGACATGGACTAGGCTTTCTGCATTGGCTGTTCTTATTTAGAAAGAGTTTATCGTTTATGTTGTATGTTAGCTAGAGCTTTTCTGCATTGGCTGTTAGTATTTAGTGGATACCTTGTCCACAAGAATTGTATCAAAACAAGGTATCGTATATCTGTAAGCATATTTTTCACTTCCGAATTATTTGATACAGGAGGTGTTGGGTAGGACTATCAGAATTGAGTTTGCAAAGCAATTTAAGAAACCTTCTCCACCGCCCTCCAATCCCCAAATTGGAGAGACACGCTATAAGCTTTACGTGTCTAATTTGGGATGGAAAGTAAGATCAAGCCATCTCAGAGATTTTGTCTCTCAAAATTTCAAAGTTCCAGTTTCAGCCAGGGTTGTCTTTAGTGGCCCTTCTGGGAAATCTGGTGGTTATGGATTTCTTTCTTTTACTACAAAGGAGGAAGCAGAGGCTGCAATTTCTTCTTTGCAAGGGAAGGTAAGAAATGCATATCTACTTTGTCGGTCATTGTCATTCTTTTTTATTTCTCTGCTCAAGCTTTATAATAGCAGTTCATATGGATGTGTCATTTTGCTTCCCTAGGTGATATAAGTTGGTTTAGTATCTTAACTTTCAAAAGAAGACCGTAATATGGATTCCTTTTATGTTGCACACATACATCTATAGGACTCTGGGTGTCTGCAGTTATTGTAGAGAAAATCGTACCACTTATGTAAGCCAGAAGTTTACTTTTGGTTCATAAAAAGGGGTTGGTAGTATCTGCTCGGTAAATACTTGAAGGCATGATATATGGAATTGGAATCTTATTAATTATCCACAAAGCACTATATTAATATGTCATTCAATATTGTCACTTGTTTTACTTTGGATTCTGTTACTCGAAAACATTTTAGACCAAGAAGAAAGAACTACAGTGCATTTGGATACGAGGCTTTAAATAAACAGATTCTGATTTCAGCGGTAGTCTACATTGGCAGAAAGAGTCATTTATATACAAGATATAAGGATAGGCTAGATACAGTGAATAATTTGGCGGTATACATCAAATATGTTACAGAAGGAATTACTAACCGGAATATTTTATATGTCATTAACTTTACAGTTAACTATAAAAATATTAAGTGAAATTCTTAGATTTAATGTTTTACATTCAAAATGGCACTTAACAGTTTATCTTTGGCAGGAATTGATGGGCCGACCAATTAATCTAAAATTTAGTGAGAAGAATGTTGGTGATTCTGGAAGCCAAAATGTTGATGACTCTGGAAGCCAAAAGGAAGAGGGAGATAGTTTTGAGGGTCAACCTGAAGAATCGTAAGTCCACAGACAGTCTTTGACCAAATTAATCCGTTTTTATTGCAGATTATAATTGGAATCTTGGGAAAGCAGAAATTTTGACCTCAACCCCCCATGTAGAGATGGAAAGTGTCCTCCTGTTGTCTGTACATTTTTCATTGTCATTTCCCTTCATCTTAGCGTTAGTTCTTGGAACAATGGTTGTGTTCTCTGTCTTTCTAAAATGTTGGCATACTTGCTACTAGATTGTACCACATAAAGAGAGTAATTATTTAACCTTTGTGATTACTCAATGAAAGCCTCTTTACAGAGTACAATTTAATATTACGTTTTAGGGTTTAGGGATAAATTTCCAACATATATTTTCAGATGTTTTCTGGACAAAACTATTGTTTTGGATGCTAATTGTATGCATAACAAAGTTGACCCTTTCTTGAGACAGCTTCTTTAGAGTCTAAGCCAGCGTTTTGATTAGTAACTACGTTTTGTGGATCATCTAAAAAATAGGTATGCTCAATGCCTTTGGATACTAGAATATTTGCGTGTGCACACACGGGTGTCCGTATGCTGTGTTATTTTTGTTTGGACAGGAGGTAGACCTTTAGATTTTACAAATAGAAAGTGTTTTGTTCGTTGTGTTTCCCTCTTGAGGGTTTAATTGATGAAAAAAGTAGTCGGAGGCTGCAGGGTTGATGAACACTGAAATGGGCTAGCGTACTCTAATCATAGCTGTATGAAGGCAGGAGCGTAGCTTAGGATAATAGTTGATGTTTTCTTTTCAAGTCACAATTGATATACTGAAGGGATGCCTTTTGAACTTTTAAGTTACTTGTTAAATTGCATTTTAATGTTGTTCATTTTGAAAAGTTCCACAAATCAATCAATTAGTTTGTTGTTTTACATTTTAGAATCGTTAAAATTCGATCAAAAGCATGTCAAATTTTATTCGGTGTTTTTTCTTTTGTAACTTTTTTTCATAGCAGCATTTCTTTCTATTAGTTGATTGGAACCAAACTCTCTTTCTCACATCCCCCCTCCTTCCTCCTCTCACAAAGTGTGGTGTTTGAAGAGGTTGACAATGACGGAAATCGCCTAATAGCAGTTAAACAGATATGTGTTGGGTTGGGAAACTGGACCACATGAAAGGAAGCTAGGGTGGACTGACATTATGTTGCTTGTTGTACCGCTGCATTTTGCTAGGTACTCTAAATTTAGTAAAAGGCGAAACAATAGTTCGCTTTGTGCTTAAAGCATGCTCTGTCTACGTTCACTAAATTTAGATTCCATGTAAAAGAGGGTACAAATTGTTTATAGGCTAAGATGAATCTAGGGTTGGCGTGACTTTGGAAAAGAGGCTGTCCAAAGTTTAAAGAAGTTGTTTAGCAGAGAGAGAATTAAGTCGTTCTTCGTGACGAAAAATAGCTTCGTAATCGTCCCATCATACCTTAATTTAATGTATAACCTCTTTTTTTAAGGTTTTTACTCCACCTTCACATGGAAACCGTTCAGTTTAGAGAAAGCAAAAGTCTGGCGAAGGTTGGAAGAAGTTTGGTAGAGAGACAAGTCTTCCTTAAGTCTTAAGGCTCTCGACAGAAGACAGCTTATTTTTTAATGCAATATCACATTTCCTTTAGTTTTTTGACTTGCTTGACCAATAATATGCTGGGTTTTACCCAATTTTAAAGTCATGCTTTCTTCTCTCTTTTTTAGGGGACTGGGATTTGTTCAACAATTTGTTGGGAAAAAACGTTGGTCCCTACAACACTCTTTAAGCCCCCTTTTTTGAGACCCACATTTTCACGTTTGTGGATTTTGAAGAGAAAATGGAGCAGCACTACATATCCCATTGGGGGATGATGACTAATCTTCTCAGTCGAAATTTCTCATTCTACATTCTCGGCTTTCCTTCTCATTTTGTAAAGTTCAACCATGATGAGAATCGTTACTTTCTAGTTCACTCTTTAAAGATAAACTCTGTAAAAAATTAATCAAATCAAAAATCGTGCTTCTCATTTTGTTCTACCTTCTCAACTCCTTTTTTTCTTCTACAATTTTGCATCATGATCAAAATCGTAGACTTTCTAGTGTTGACTGAAAAATAAGGTTATTGTCTTTATTGGATAATCGTTAAATAACCAAAAGATACCGGATTTGGTTGATTTTTGGCAGAGTTGATTTTTAATCGATGACCTAGAAACATAGATGATTCAGATCATCATGCAACATAAAAAGATGAGAAAGAAGAACCGAGAAGGTGGAACATGAATGTTTAAATGAGAAGGTCATCTTTGCGATATTGTTTCTAACATTATGTTCTTCCTTTTTCTTTTCTTTATTTATCCAACCTAGAAAGGCTGTGTCATCATTGACTCATATGTTCTCTTTGGTCTAAAGTAGAGACTAATCCATGTTTGTCACAAACCACGAAGAAAACCTTCCCTGCATACCCCCATTGTGTCACTCTCTCTCTCTCTCTTCTCGCAACACTCTATCCTTACGCGATTCACAGAAGGACAGAGAGAGTAGCAAAATGGTGATATGCAACCGCGATAGGAAAGTTTTTTCTCCAAATTTAAGCTTTGTTAATGTAGACTTTAATAGTGAAAATTAGTAGTGTAGATTTCTTGCAAGAATGCACTTGAAAATTTGGTACACCCACCATGGCGGCTCTAGTTTTAGTTTTTGGTACAATGCCTCTTTCACCAATTTAATGGAATGCGATATGCTCACTTGCAAATGCATTACTACTTTAATTTAATGAAACTCCCAACCAACACCAGCACGTTGGTCCACAACTATATTATCTCCCAAACAAATTGAAAAAAAAAAAAAAAAAAAAAAAAAAAAAAAAAAAAAAAAAAAAAAGAGAATGAACGAAGAAAAAGAAATGAAAAGAAAAAGCAGAAAACAACACAACTCTCATCTTCTAGTCTATGAATTTTGATCTGCTTTTGCTTTCCATGTAAGCTGCTTTTTTCTCCCACAAGTCCCAACCAATCTTGTCTCCCTTCAAATAAACTTAACTAGCAGAAACTCTCCTATTGTGTACTTGCTGTTCCTGCCTTGACAACTCTGCAGAATCTCTACAAACTCGGTGTCTGTCTTCGAGTGTGCTCATTGCTAGCAAAAAAAAATCCCCAACAAATCCAATCAAAACAGGAAGCAATCTTCAGGTAAAATTTTGGTCATTTCGACAGCCCTTTCCTCGACTTTGCAGTCTTAAAACTTAGCACCTCCGCTATATTAATTGTCAAGCAACTGTTTTAACCTCAATTATTTTTCTTTCTGTTAACATCATTGTCTTTTAATCTTTGTGTTGATCTCTAGGGAAAATTGTATTGACGAATGAAACAAATGATTCACAGTGTGAACAGAAACTTGGGCGGGTTTTAGAATTTAGATTAGTGAAGGGGTCTCAAGGCAGCCGTAAGACTTGGATACCATATATGAACACCAAAGATTGTTCCCAAGGTTTTTGTAGTTTGCATTGCCCACAGTGGTGTTACATGGCAGTACCACCCCCACCTGCCTTTGAGTTTCCTCAAGAAGATTCGTCGTCTCCCATTTTCTCTCCTCTTGTTATTGCAATTATCGGCATTTTGGTCAGTGCTTTTCTTCTTGTGAGCTACTACACCGTAATTTCCAAGTACTGCGGTAACGAGGACCGGAGGAGAGCAAGAAGAGAAAATCATGGCCAGAATGAGGAGTTCGATGACGATCACACCCAGTCGATCCATATGCCGTGGCATATCACAACGGCTGGCTTAGATGAGGCTTTGATTAAGTCATTAACAGTTTGTAAGTACAAGAAAGGAGATGGATTGGTCGAAGGAACAGATTGTTCGGTTTGTTTGAGTGAGTTTGAAGAAGATGAGAGCCTGAGGCTGTTGCCTAAGTGCAATCATGCTTTCCATCTCCCTTGCATTGATACATGGCTTAAATCTCACTCCAATTGCCCTTTGTGTCGCGCTACAGTAGTTTCTGCAAATGCTTCTCAGTTGCCACCTAATGCAGTGTCTGAAAGTCCTCCATTAACCGATCGCGATACATCATCATTTGCTGAAAGCCAAGGAGCATATGAAAATGCGGTAACGGCACAAGATTCAGAGAGGGGTTCTTCTCAAAACGTGGAAGCAATACATGGAGATCATGCTATTCCGAAGACATCATCGGGACTTGCTTTTAGTGATTTGGGAAATGCAGAGGGGCGAGATAGTACCATCATTGAGATTGCAGGAGATCATGAGGTATATCATCAAGCAGTTAGAAGGTCGGTTTCCATGGATGGTTCAAGTGGGTACCGTGTTTTAGTTGCAGATATTCTTCGCATGAATGATGAAGACGATGGGGAGGACAATGATATTGATCATGTGGGAGGCTCAGATGACGTTGCCGGTTCTTCGAAACAGTCAACTGGAGGAGCTGGAAAATCTAGCCATACAAAAGGAGTACTCCTGCATTGTGTTATAAGTCCAGTTGCAATGAAGAGATCATTTTCAAGCGGAAGATTCTGTTAAACTAGGTATTTGGATTAAAGTGCAAAATTTTGATTTTGCTCTGAAATAGGTATTATAATTATCTGTTTACAATCCATTGTTAGACTCCGTGAGCTTTTAAATCCATAAATTGTTGCATATGATGAGTGTATAGAACATCATTTTTAGGGTATAAAACCACTACACGAAGTGTGATGATTTTTTAGACCGATTGATATACACTCCTGGTGTGCAAATATTTCTCCGATTAGTATATTGTTGCTTTTGGAGTAAATTCTACTGTTTTCTAGTAAATTTAATTAAGTTTCACGGGCTCTAAGTGACGGGCTTGGAGTTTAATGTTCCTAAGTAAATTAAAGTATATACATTATCAAGGAATTTTCTCAGGTCTTACGGACCTTTGTAGCCTTTCACACTCAACCTGCCAGTCAAGCTTGTGAAACCACCTTTTGGATCCATGTGATCTGGATAGGTATCGAGTTTAAAGGAATGTATTTCCCTTGACGTGAGAGATATTTACATGATTGATAATGGATAATAGTAATTGTACACATGGTATGCATGTGCTTATTAAAATTTTGAAATTAAAATTTACAAAGAAAGAAAATATAAAATGGTCGCTAAAGCTTTTTAGTAACGACCTTCAAACGATTTTTCGTCCCTAAAGAGGGTTCATATCTTTAGCGGTTGTTCCTTGATAACTATTTCATCACTAAAAGTTTATTTTATTTGAGAGAAAAACATGAAGGAGAAAATGGTGGCAACTCATATGGTTACCTAGCTGTGAAGCTTTGAAAAACATTAAAACTATTTTGTGTTTAATTTACTATATTGACCATAACTTTTATTTTGGTTATTGTTCTTAGTTTTGTTAACATGTTTAATTTGATCTTTTCACCCTCTTCTAATTGACAAAAAAGATTTTGTTAATAGGTAGTTTAGATTAACAATACCAATTCAAGCCTATACGATCAACCAATAATTTGAAGTCCAACATAAGCTGAACTACTCGATGCGCACCCCTACTCCAGGCACATCTATGGCATACTCTCAGGCAGGACTCCCTTCTATTTGTTAAAAGACATGGGAAAACAAACGGGTGTAGCAACTGAAAGGAAATTGACCCACAAAAGCTACCCGAACATGCCATGCAAGTCGAGAGGCAAAATATAAAGGCCTCATCCAGACAAGACATCATGATTTCTAAGAGAACGGCCGGCGAGATGGTAATTAAACATTCACTTGATTACTATGCCGTTTTGGTTCCTTCGAAGTTTTAATGACGTTTACTAGGCCAATTTTTATAATTCTCAGTTTTATTTTTATTTTGGAGCTAGGCTTAACTTAGTATTCAAGTGAAATAATATGTTGTTCTTAAACTGTCGTATCATTTTTTTTCTTATAAACCTTACAGTGGCCTTCTGTGCTAATGATATAAAGACATGTTTTAGCTTCTTTGCATGTGCCCTTGTATCATTAGTACGTATGCCACCATGGCATTATCTCCGTTTCATGCAAGTTGCTCTTGTAATTGAGGTTTTTTTTTTCTGGTTACATGTGGAAACCGTGCACTAAACAACCGAAAAGGAAAACCGAGTATTAACTCAGTAGCTACTAGCTTACAACTACAAACCAACAATAAAGAAATTGAGAAGCTTAATTCACAGCAGTTGTGGTGATTCTAGTCAGATAATTAACACAATAACCTGGCAGCTGCTTCCTCTATTACTCTAAGCATGTGGTGAAGTGATGCTGCTATGTCATCTGCCGAACTTAGTAAGCACCCTTCTTCAATCTGCACACACACACATATATATAGAATGTTCATATTTTAGACCAATTTATTTAACTCATTGAATTCTTACAATTATAAGCAAACAAATATTTGCAAATATGGTAAACACCACCCATATACACAAAAATGTAAAGCCAATTATTGGTGACGAGACCATTCCAAGCAAATGACAAAACTGCCCCCCCCACAACAAATGTTTGCAAATTATGTAGTCTTGAGGCCTTTTCTATTAGAAAGTGTCACAGCAAGCGTGACAATTTTATGTGTTCAGACTCTAGATAGTACAATTACAGAATGTGAATAACTAACTAAACTTTGGTTCAAGTTAATGTTAATTATTTCGTAAATAAGTAGTATACGTACCTTGAGACTAATACAGTAGAGAACAAATGGATCCATGGTTGAAACAGTGAGATGAAGGATTGTGAGGTGAAGTGAATGAATTCCAGCGACCAACTTGGGAAGCTGTGATCTTGCTGCAATATTTCTGCGTGAGAGAATTTTAAGGTTTGCATGGGTCTCAATTAACGTGACCTCAATGTCAGCGGTAGCCCCCTTGGTTTTTGAAGTGTACTTATTGTTAGGGCAATGACTGTGAGACCACGAGTGCTTCTGAGGGTATTCCAGTAATTGTGTAAAAGGGGATGATGGCACGATTTTGGAGGGGGTGGTGACAATATCTTCTGGATTATGTTGTTGTTGATGTTGGAAAAGTTGGAGCTTTTGAGCTTCAAGGGACTGTAGGAGATGCTCAAGTTCCTTCACGAATTCTATGGCACCACCTACTATAGAGGCCTGGTCACCCTGTATGCAGATGCAGTTGCACAACCAAAAACAATGAGAAGAAAACAAAACATACAAAAATGAAGTAAAAAAGTGACGTTAAAAGTACTATTATGCATATGTGATGCTGAAAAGGTGGACAGGTAAACAGATATATACATGCATGCATACATATATATAATATTAAGATAGATTAGAAGTTCTTTAACAAAGAAAAAAAATTGTGTTTCCCCTGTAAAGCTAATTGGGAAATTAATATATAAATTAAAATTATGCATCTCGACTACACTTCCTAGATAGAGTTTAAGTTAATGGAAGAGAAGAAATTGATGGATGAACATGCAGTAGTGAAGTAGTAGTAGGCTAGGCTTGGCTTACCCTTTGGGCGTAAGAGTCGGGCATGAGAGAGCGGAGAATGGCAAGATGGTCGTTCATTTGTTTTCTGCGGTTTCTTTCGACAGCAATGTGAGTCATTCTCTGCGTCTCAGCTTCTTCCTTGTTCTTGCAAACCCTTGCCTTTCTCCTTCTCTTCTTCCTCCCTTGCCCTTCCCCTTGCCCTTGCGGCTGCTGATGGCTGCTCATCTGCTTCGTCTTCTTACCGCCACCACCACCTGCTGCTTCCAACATCATACTAGTATTACTACTTTTGGCGGCAGCGTTATTGCAGTAGTAGAATTTTTTAGGAGGTATGAAATTATTGGCGGTTTCTGAAGAGTAGTCTTGAGCTTGGCTGGTGTAGGGGGTTGCAGAGATGGTATCATAGACGATGAAGTTGAAAGGAGGATCTTCTAATAATGGCATTATTATCTTATGTATTTGTGTGTGTTTCTCTCTTCTCTTCTCCTCTCCTCACTTGTTTAGCATTACCTCCGGACTTTGATTCTTTAGCTCTTTTTTCTATTCAAATACCACAATCATTTTATATACGAAACTCAACTCATCCTCTCTTCAGATTAACATGCACATATCAGAGACAGAGAGAGAGATGGTGCACGTGAGAGAGGCAGAAAAGGTGAAGTGCTTTTCAGCTTCGGAAAGTGAAGAAAAGAGAGAGGGACTCTCCTCTCTCTCTCCCCCTCTCTTTCTCTCTCTCTCTCTCTCATCCTTGGTTTGGTTTTCTGTCCAATTTGAGAGACGGTGTTAAAAAAAAAGCTGGGCCATGCCAGTTTCTGCAAGAGATGAGAGAGAGAAGGGAAGAGTAGTGGGGGACCCAAATCTATATAGAAATATGCATACAAACAACATAACAAGCTGTGCAAAAGCTACTCATCACATTCAAATCTGTGATGTGTTTTTGCAGCAAGGGACTGACTCGCGTACGTACTCTTAACCTAGCTAGATTCTCTTTTCTTATATACATATACATATATATACATACATATATATATATATATATATAGAGTCCCGTTCTTTTAGACCTCTTGGTCTAAGAAAACTGTGGTTATCCATTGTTCGGTATCTTAATCCGATGGTAGAGAAAAAGGTACAACAAAAATTGAATGACACTTGGTTGATTTAAGATCAAACGATGAGTAAATTCTCTTGGAGCATGAAATTTCGAAACTGGTATTCTGTATATTAATTAATAAACTCTTCATATGTAAACTAAACATGCATGTGCTTGGTATTGCAATGTCTTGCCATCTGGGACCATTTGTCATTAGGTCCCTCGATATATTGGTAGATATTCATTTTGTTTAATTTATTACTTTGTGTACATATTTAGTGCGTAATAAAACAAAAATGTATACTGGTGATCACTTTGGCACTCACATGTCAAACACCAGCAGCAACTACACCAGGTGGTCATTGCAATGTCAATTGTCAACCCTGTTGGTGAAATTGACATATTATTCAAGATATGTGAACACTCATAATAAAAATGAAGCATCACTCACCAAAGGCAAAACGTCATTGATTAATCCTAAAATCAACCTCGTTATCACCCTTGAGTTGACAGCACAAGAGGTTTTCAATGTACTTAGAATACCGTCACATGATATTACAAATCAACTCAAATTGTTAATATATCCAATAGGAGTGAGAAATATCAAAATAAATAAATAAATAAAATCTTGATGAGTGTTCCAAGTACACATAAAATTTCTTGACAAAGTACATATATAAATGGAGCTACCTCTGTTTATATAATTATTCGTTTATCTATTTCATCTCGTAATAAAGTCATGTAATTAAAGAGTAACAAAATCGTATCACCTAGGGATAGGCGAGAAATACTCTGAATAACCACTTCCATTCTTACTATTATTTTATTTTTTGTTACGAAGGGCCGGGGGTCCAACGTGTGAGAAAAATTCTAAACAAGAAAATTTCAATTTAAGGGCTTAAACAACATAGCCCCAGCCATAACCACCCTACAAATATCATCAAATAATGTTTCAAATGAACAATCGATGGAAGATCGAGGTTCATCAATCACGACAATGCCACGGTTGAATGAAACACTCAATTTACCAAACCATCAGCTACCATTTTCCATTCAGTACAAATATGACTAAATTCACTTTGATCAAGTTGAGACATCAAGTGATGGCAACCATATATACCACCAAAGGATGTAAATCCTGCATAACACCTTTGAAGTGGGAAACCAAGAAAGCAGACTCAGATTGCACGGCCAGCCTCCTTACACGCTTATCCAAAGCCACTTCCATCTCTTAAAAGAGTATAGGATTTACACAGCACGAGTACACCATAATAGTGATGTTTTGTACAAATAAATAATGGCATGTATAAATTTTTATCCATGTACCGTTGTTTCATTGACACAAAACACCATATGATGGTACTCGTATCATTTACGTTGTTCTCCTAGAATAGACCTCTTGACTACTATATATTGTTAATGTTTCAGTGGTTAGTAATTGATATTTGCCTAACTTCCACTAGTCCTTACTTATGTCACTTTGAACTTGAATTATAGAATAATTATTACCCTATACATCCAGAAAAAAAAGGCTGTATTATCCTTGCTAGTACAATCATCAATAATTGTAATAAGATGATTTATTATTCGCTAATTACAATTAGAAAGTGTGCAACTTTATTTGAAAAGGAGAAAAGATGTATTCGTCAAGTAAAACCACCGTCTCCCTCTGTTCAATTATGAATTATATATAGAAAAGGTGAGAAAAAGACTTGTCCATCTGCCTGTGCAGCTTAATTTTGCACCTTGTCCGTTAGGGATTTTGGTTTTGTCTTCTACATACCTAAAAAAACTTGTGAGATCATCGTGAGTCTCAGTATTCGGTAGTTATGCACCGAAATTTGGTTACAGTTCAATAGGGAACAACTGAAAATCCTCAAAAGATTTGGTTGCTTTCTGCCGAATACGGTAGCGAGCACCACCGTCACCATTAGCCTTGCGATTTCCAGCGCCTTTATCGTTCTCGTACGGTAGGGAATCTCATGGGTTTAGGGAGGAGTTCACGAGCTAAGTTGATCAAACTGTCATGCCGTGTTAAGGGGCTTTCATGTAAAAAGGATTTTAAACTAAACTAGTTAGAAATGCACTCTAACTCTTAGGGATCATTTGACAAATGCTTTTAAATGAATGAAAGCTTTCCGAGAAAATATTTTTGGATTCTAAAAACAATTGAAGTGTTTTCTGCTAAAACCACCAGTTATGTGCATCTTGCTAGAAGCACCTTAAGTACTTTTTCAGAATTAATTTGCATTTTTACTAAAGTTTGGTTCCAAAAATATTTTATCTAAAAACACTTTCAGTCATTTAAAAACACTTATCAAACAAGCCCTTAAATAAAAAATTTTGCAAGGACTAGGTGCAATGCACTAAAAGAGTTATTTGCATACAACTACTTCAAAATGAGTCGTTAAAAACTTGTGTGTGTTTAATGTTTTTTTTTTTTTAAGGAAAACTAATGAAAATAGCTTGAAAACTTCAAGTTTTAACGATAAAGACAAAATAAAGGGTAAAGTGAATAGTACCAGGATTGACTTTTAAATGTAAAATTGTGGTTTTTTGTTAAAGTAAACAATACCGGGAGTTTTTCGTTAAAGTTCCCTTTTTTTTTTTTAATCATGGTGCATTTTCAATTCCTCGTTCTAATGTTTTCCAGTGCTTTTTGAACTGTAAGTTAGCCTATATACACTACTTCCAAATCGCTCATCCAAGTAAACCATAATCCATACGTGGAGTGTGTGTGCCTAAAGTCTAAACTACATATTAATGGAACTCTAATTATCAACTGAAGTTTTATGAAATTACTATTCTAATCTTCTAATTAAAACTGAACATAAATAAAAATTATGGGCAATTTTGTAATTTCAAAAACAAATTTTGCTCTTTTTTTTAAGTATCACCCACATGTGATTTTAACTTCTTTAATATTTCCTATTCTTGGTTTGAAGAGTCCCCGACTTCATTTCAAACTTTATTTTGTCTGAATGTAATTCTGTTGGATTATGATGTTTGTTTGTGCCACATGCTTGTTATGCTTATGGAGGTCTTTAATTCCCTCCATGTTACATTTTATGTCCATTTCTTCATAGTTTGACATCAATAGTTCCTTGGGTCTTGTAAAACCCTCGTCAAACTTAAGGATAAATCTTGGATAAGTTAGATTGTTGAGTTTAACTACTGTTCTAAAAGGCGGTCTAGGCAACTGGCTAGGCATTAGGCGGGGGTGCTTTGCCACAATTAACCCGAAATCATTTATCAAATCGGCAAGGATATTAGGCAACGTAAGGCGGCCTGGGTGGGCTAGCCGGGCTCGACAGATGCTGGGTGGTCCTGGCAACCTAGAAAAAACATGTGTCGCAAGACTGATAACCGCCTTATCTCCAAGAGTCTCACTGTCTCCCTCTCGGTTTGCTAGAAGAGGAGTTGACGATGGTCTACGAGAAGAGAGAGAGAAAATTGTAGAAGATAAGTATGCAATTACAGAGATGGGTAACGGCGGCACGTTGTAGAAGGTAAGTGTGCAATTGCAGGAATGGGTGCGACAATTTTAGTTAGGGTTTTAAGCAATTAGCAGCTTTAGGCTTTAGCTAGCTTTAGTTAGGTTTTTTTTTTTTTTAAGCGAGTCGGTGAAAATTTTACTAAAACAAGAATGCAAGGCCAACCTTCTACGTTCATGAAAATGGCTTGGGCTAAATTTATTTTGACAAAAAATCATGCTATAACTTTGTTTAATGAAAATTAATTAAATATTCATGAAAAACCCTTAAATTTTAACAAAAAGGACAAATGAACTTAAATTTTAATGAAAATGACACAATTTTAATATTAAAAAGTTAAAAAAAATGAAAAATGAAAAATAAAAAAAAGACCTGACATGCAGGACCTATGCATCTATCACAGACACTGTTTATGAAACTGAACAGTGTTTATGAAGCTAAAACACTATTTATAAAACTGAACACTATTTACGAAATTGAATGCCACTACACTATTTGTTGGTCCAGTTTCATAAATAGTGAGTAATTCTTGGTCATGTTTCATAAATAGTGTCTAGTTATTGGGTCCAATTTTATAAATAGTGTATAGTAATTGGTACAGTTTCATAAATAGTGTCTCTTTCTTTGTCTAGCTTCATAAATAGTGTCTAGTTATTGGTCTACTTTCATAAATAGTCCCTAGTTCTTGGTCCAATTTCACAAATAGCATCTAGTTCTTGATCCAGTTTCAAAAATAGTTTCCATCTATTGGTTTAGTTTTAGAAATAGTGCCTAATTCTTTGGCTTTGTTTAATAAATAGTGTCTACTTATTGGTCAAGTTTCATAAATAGTCTCTACTTATTGGTCTAGTGTCATAAATAGTGTCTACTTATTGGTCAAGTTTTATAAATAGTGTCTAATTCTTGGTTCAGTTTCATAGATTTGAAACTTAGACCATTTTTTGTCCTGTAAAAGCACTCTTTGCGCCGAAAACAATGAACCCAAAAGTGATTCTTTGTATCAAAACCTTGAGAAGATTATGTCATCAGCAATTATATTTAAAAAGTTGTTTTCAATTACCAAATTAAAATTCCCTAACATTTTTTACATAACTACAATAATTAAATGTAGCTCTCCATCCAATTTCTTTAGCTTGGGTGTCATCTTGGAGAAATTTTTCCTTATGCCCGTAACACAAATGGTACAACACGTGTTATTATATAAGTGGTGAGAAATTTGATTTTTTATGTTATTAATTCTCTCGTCATCTTAACTACTATTGGAAAACAACACCACAAAAATAAAAATAAAAAATGTATTCGATTTGAAGTCTTTCTCTTCTTCTAAGAAAAAAAACAAAAACAAAAACAAAACAAAAACAACAAAAAAAACAAACAAACGAACTCTTAAGACAACGGGGAGAAAATAGAGTGGAAAGGGAGGGGTGGGGTTGGGGGTATGCGCGCCTGGCGCATGTGCTTTTTTTCTTTCTTTTTTTTTTTTCTTTTTTTTTTTTTATCCTTTTGTCTTTATCATTAAATAAAATTAGGAGATAGTTTTTTTTATTAAAACGTAAATATTTAAACTTTTTTTTCATTAGTTTTCCTTTTTATTAATAAGAATAAACACCCAACAATATGGGCCTAGAAAATGAAAATGATACAAAACCAATATAGAGTCTAAAATTTTACATATATACTTACATGTATATAATTTATTTTAAAAAATACCATATTAATGAATGTTTATTTATATTATATAGTAAACTTAATTTAATTTATAAGATTTATTACTTAAATACCGTCTAGTCTGCTTAGGCCCTATATAGACACTCAGGCGCTAGATCCCAGCTTACCGTCAACTAACGCTTAGTGTTTTCTGAAATGTAACAATGATCGAGAACTATGGATATTGAAAGACTTCATTTCAATTTCAATACATAATCTTAATTTGAGTGAAGCATATCAGCATAGACGATGTGGTTTGACTGTCTGCAAATCTTTCTTATAGGAAAGTGTTGCCTTATCCCAGTGACAGAACGAGGACATTTGGAAAGAAGGAAGACGGTGGCCTTAGGAGTTGGGACCACGATCCAGACTGTTGCCTCTCTGCAACTTAATCCATGTGACCATCTGCTTCTGCTCCTCTCGATAAACTACATATTTCCTACCATGTCCCATAATCCAAAGTCACCACTCAAAGGATCTACTCAAACCTTTTCCGCCCTATTTTTTTAACTTTCACTTGGACATGGATCCTCTCCGGATCCATGCATTCTAATCCTAGGAATCCACCAATCTGAAGCATTAAAATTTGATCTAACGGCTAAAATTATTATAACTTTTAAAGTGAACCCTTGTTTGTAACTGTTAGATCAAATTTCAATGCCCGGATTGGTGGATCCCTAGAATTAGGATGCATAGATCCGGACAGGATCTATGTCCTATATATTTTGTCACAAAAACAACACGTCATTTTGGCTATTGTGTCAAACTTGCTTTTCTGATTTCTCTTGTAGATTTCTAGGGTACTGTTTTTGTACAATTGAAGCTTGGAAGGCTACATCTTCGTCTCCATTGCACAAACCAAATCTTGACTTGTCATTGTACTCGACAACCGATGCAACATGCATATACCCAAATTACCATACCATTTTCTAATTCTGCCTAACCATCGAAACGTTCTCTTGACCACCAGGTGATTGAAGAATGCACAATACCACTTACCATTAGATTTGTTTACGTCATTGGTTAAATTTTAAGACATTAAAAACACGGCTATTTATTCTCCAGCCTTGACATCAAAGGTAAACGACCGTGAAATCTTCGTTCACTGAGTGACTAACAACATGATTTTAATGCCGAATACATCATACTGCACTAGAAGAGAAAGCAAGATTAAACTGTGGCGTTAACTACAAATTCTTTACCCCTTACAATGAACACCAATTGACTAATTTTTAAAACCCGCAACAGCGCTAATCAATTAGTATGTTACAAAGCGTTACAGTAGTTCAGGATACGAAGCGTTAATGTTTTCAATCTCATTCCAGAAGTGCAAAAGGACCTTCTTGTCTCTGTGCGTGTGCGCGCGCTTGTGCGTATGTGTGTTGGGTTGGGTGGCTCAGTTGTAAACATAGGCGGCTCGGAGAAGGAACATAAAAACAATTGTCATCAACAGTAACAACTTCATAGGATTTCTGGTGATTTCATTTAATTCATGTCCTTAACTAATTAGATTTCCAATTTGATGGTCGACCTACCAAAATTTCAACCGGATGCCGCAGAAATCTAGCAATCCAATGATGAAGGTCGTCGAAAATGTATAGGCAATTAAAATAAAAAGGGCTTTGGCTGCCGATGCAAACAGGGTTTCCACCATCAAGTTCACCAAACCCGTGAGCAAATTCGCCTGCAAGGGAAGAAGAATCAGATTATGTTATGCATGCAGCATGAGAGAATTGAAGCTTGCAAATGTTGATTAAACCAGACAAACATTTGTTGGTCACCACAAGAAACTTTAAAAAGTTCGTTGTAGTATACCAGAAGAAATGTCCCCAGCAAATTGCGGTTATATGCTTCTTCCAGCACTGAAGTTTTGCTTCCGGGGAGAAAATCAGAGAGAAGAAATATTGCCAACACCTGAAAAATGAGTGACAACTTGAGTTGGAGTTAAACAAAAAAGTGGGAAGTTGTTTGAACTGATTCTTTCTACGGATACGTAAACATATTCTAAATAATTTTCTATTTTAATAATCTTATAAACAGAAAATTAATGCTTCTAAAGACGAGTGAGGATATTTTCAATTACAACGACAATTTCCGAAGGGGTCATGCCAGTTAAATTTTATACATCCAAATCAATAATTTCAGAAGGGAACATGCCAATTAAATTCAAGTCAAAAGAGGAAATGGGCTTAACCTGTAAATTTACAGCCAAAACCAGTGTAACATAGGCCAGGTTGCACTGCAAAAATGTAAACATACATTAGTTTCCTTAAAAATACTATTCAAACACGTACAAAATTTGAGTAAAAGCAGAAATACACATACCATCCTACGGGAAACTCTCTCTACGTGGCGGTCTATAATCACAGTTAATAACCTGAAACAGAAAAGAATTTAACACCTTCGGCAACCACCTTATAGCTCCCAGAGAGTGAATAAATTTGACAATAAGACTTGGAGTAGAGAAATACCAAAGGAGAAGTGAAAGTATCCAAACTCTAATTGTTGCCCATTTATTGCTTCCCATTGTAGCAGAGGAATGGTTATTGAATAGAAGAAAGTTTCCCAATTGGACACCAACAAGGTACATACCCCAATATCCTGGGAATGAAGGCAATAAACTACTTTAAGCAATAAGAAGAAAACCCAAACAACACGCTTGAAAGATTATAACTCAGCTTTCTCTCGGTGCTAACCAAATTCAATAGCACTCATAAAAAGACAGGTATAGTAGAACTTTGAACATAGTTGTGCTACCAATGCACAGCAGAAGATGGCAATCTTTCCAGCTATATTACAGATGTTCACACCCCCCAAATACCCACGATTAGGTTATTCAATGAATTACATCATATGACTTTGTTGTTTGAGTTACAGATAACACTAGGAAGGTGGGATGAAATGAGCTTAGCGGAAATGGTGATGATAATAACAATGATTAACTTTCAACTTCGATATTTGAAAGGGATACCATTATAAAAGATATAATTTGTGTACTGTATTAAAAAGAGGCAATTTACATACTTTCATTTAGTATTTTGATTTAATTCATTTTCGTCTCCTTTTCTATTCAGATTTCATATCCTCTACATTTTCATAATAATGAGAAAATCTAAAAGCAGCAACTCAGTTGCAAGATACTAGTCTTAGATCCAAGAACCAAATACCATTAATTACAAACCCGACTTAACCATGAACTGCTATACTCTCAATCTAGAGTACTTTCTCCTGGTTCCTTACAGTATACTATAAACTGAATGTGTTCTAGGTGCCTAAATCTTGGTTCGGACAATTATCAATCTTCAGATACTGACACTTTTATCTCTCAATATATGAGCTTGGAGAAACATCATGATTATATTGAGGGGCGGAGCTAGAAAAACGTTTATGGGGGGCACAACTAAGCAATAGTGGATTAGGTCCTCGTGGAATCCCAAAAAGAGCGCGTGAAGCGCCAAAATGTTTCTCAATTTTAAGTAAGGCATTTTGTTGAGCAATTGACCAACCCATAACCATTGTGTGCTTAGCATACATTCCCACCCTTTGTGCCATTTTAATTGTATCTTTAGAGTCAATATTGTTATAGTGAATAGGTAGATAACTTATATATGTTACATAGCTGGGAGGTCAAATTTATTAGACATATGGGAGGAGGGAATTCTTCTTTGTGACTGCCAGAATCAACCACACAACTAAAACTTTTTGTGTTATATCCGCCTCTTGGTGGTTTTGGATAAGGACCGAGTGATAGAGTTGGTGGTGGTGAGTTGATTATTATTTGTCGTTGGATCTACGTCATATCGAGCAACAGAAAGCGGCTGAGATTTAAGCAGTGCCCTGGCTCCTGCTCAAACCACCTTTTTTCCCAAGCCAAAAACTTGAGGGGGGCACATGCCCCCTCTGGCCCTTAATAAGATTCACCCCTGATTATATTATATATATATATATGTGTGTGTGCAGAGATTACGATTTAGTGTTGGCTCTTCCTAAAAAGTAATCTGGGTGCAGCATTCAATTTGGTTTTCATACTGCAACTTCACATGGGCCAAAGAATGTATTAAAATGGAACGCATTTGATGTTTTTCTTTTGTGAAATTACTTGCTATGATATAGCATTATGAAAAGGGAAGCACATATCTCTTACAGCATCCTACCTATGTCAGTTTATGACCAAACCAAAGAATGTATACTTCGTTAAGAAACTCAGTCAAGAGAACATTTAACAACTTGATTAAATAAATGAATCCCATATTTATTTTTTTATTGATGTACCAAGAAAACCTGTCCTTTGAACTTGACGGAGAGTCCAAACTATTCAGAAGATCAAATAAGCATGAAAAGTATTCAAGCTCAAGCACTTACCAAATATGCTAAAAAACCCCTCCTTATTTTGGCTGATTATATCAGTTCCCCTTTCATTAGAAAGCAGATACGAGTTTAACCCATGCATCAAGCAAACTTGGTAACCTGGAGGATAAAAAACCAATTAGACTATAACTTACATATACTCGAAGGATAAAAGTAATATAACGCATACACCAAAAATAACATTGTACCGTACGATTATACCTACTAGAATTAGTGAGCCAAGAATGCCAGAATACTGCGCGGGAATATTAATTATGGATGTAAGAATTGATATCGCAGCAAGTGTGAAAAAGAAATTCCAGTGCACTCCATATTCCGCCACATGAAGCTACAATGTGTAAACATATCATGACAAAGCAGAAACATAAGAGCTGATAAGGAAATCGGAAAAGCATAAGACTATATAATATATGTGTGTGTGTGTGTGTGTGTTCAGTTAATGGATCAAAAAGAGATTAATGCAGCATTGAACAGCCTATTGAACACATTAAAGTATTGACATGACCACGATAAACATCAGTGATTAGATGGACTGACTTGTTACAAGCTGAAAGGAGTGGTCACCCTTCATTGTGAAATTGACTTAAACTGAAAACAAGACATGACACCAGTGAACATACCAAATTGAACTGATAACATCATAAACCTACCTGATAGTCCACGCCTGTGGTAGACAGAAGACGGGCAAACCCAAGGATAATTAGTGGACTAGCAGATTGAATAGCAGTCTTCCATGACCTTAACAAGCATAAACAAACAACATGCCATCAACATCATATTTTCACACAACAACAGGAGAACACTGCAGTCTGTTCATACCATTCAAGATCCTATCATGCAAACAAAAATATATAAAAACTAAAGGAAAAAAAAAAACATTAAAGAGTAAACAAGAATGATGAAAATATTTATACATAATCACAGGATTTCTTGGAGGAACACTTGAACTTCCATATATTTTCCATTATTCAAAATCACGTTATTCTCTGAACTCTTTTTATTGGTGATTGTGTAAACTTTTTTTTATAGATGTATGGTACATGCACACACACCCACACCCCTACATGTGTGTGTGAGAGAGAGAGAGAGAGAGTTAAGAGGTTACACCCAAGGTTCTAAAAGACGCTAGGCCCTAGTTGGGTGTTGGGTTGGGGCCTAGCGCCTAAGCACCTAGGTGGGCGCCTAGGCGAATTTAATTAAATTTATTATATTTTGTGTAAATAAGTGTGGGTTTATACTTAAAATATATATAATTTCATCAATAACAACAAAATAGAATAACATATACATTAGAAGTATTGGAACATAATGAAAACATGGGGAACACACATATAATGTGTATTCATTTAAGTATTCAACAAGTCTCTTACAATTTATTGAAAAAAAAATAAAATGCAAAATGAAAGTTATCTAGTTTTTGTCTAAGTGAGTCACAACCTAGGCGGGTCTGGGCGGGCCTAGGCAGGCGCCTAAGCAGGTCTAGGCACCCTTTCTTAATTTTCAAATGCCTAGACATTAATTGGTGCGGTGACCAGCTGCCTAGCACCTAGGCGGTGCTAGGTGGGGATTTTTAGAACAGTGGTTACACCCAAAACAACAAAATTATAAATGACTAACCTTGATGATATATTTCGTGCTTGCCGTGAAACTAATGAATTTGCTATGACAAATGAGCCAACCCCAAGATCCATCTGACATATTCATGTATGGAAAAAAATTAATAGAGGTCATTTCTCAATTTAATTTCCTCAACAAATATTCATTAAGTAGAGATGTTTATGTTCGGTACATTTGAGTAGGTCTCAAAGAAAATAGAATATCTAAATCACCAAATATAAATTAAGAGAAAGTAATATAAAGACACAGGAATAAAGAAGAAAAAGAAGTGATAGAAAGAATATGATCCAAAGTAATTCCACTATTCTTCATTTCACACAAAACTTGGAACTAGTACCAGAGAACCAGTGAGTGTAAGTAACTTATGATTGCGTCCCTAAGTCTTGTCCTATATTGGCTATTGATAAATACTGAAAGAATTATTCAAGAGGGTATTGCTATCAAACAAAATTCAGACAGAATTAAAAGTTCGCTGCAAATTGGAAACTACTCATCAGTTGATGGCAACCCAGAAGAAAATGATGGTAATGGAACAGATGTTAAACATATGTTATTTGACTTCTCAATTTGAAGAGTAAGGTGGTACAATATATATACCATAATGAAAATCAACAAAATCTAGTCAAACTCAAACACTACAACAATAGGCTTAAGAAGACTACAATTGTGTTCCATATTGCTTGCAAATTCTTACCCAGCCAGTACCATAAGTCTCGGTCTTGGCATATCTTCTAGGGAATATTGTGAAGTCAACAGCCAAGATACAGACGCATGTTATGATCATCTGCAGCAATTACTTTTGTTCACACGAAAAAAATTGTAAAAGTTACAGGAAAGTTTCTATAGTAAAAAATTAAACTACGCAGACCTAAGTGAAACTGCATACCGTAGCAACTCTGTAAGATGAAATAATTTGCCTTATAGAATAGGGATCTTCCTTCAAAGTAGAATAGGAACCAAACCTACATTTAAGAACATGCAACTGTGAATCAGTATACTATATCCAAGCATAAAAATGCTCTGCTACTCATTCAAACATCTTCTAGCATTGTGAACATGGCATGAATGACTCCTCGTGACGAGGGGAATACTAAAAGCGGTATCATACTACCTTTTGGCTGCAATACTGAAAAGCAGTAACAATATCAACAAAGTTGCCCAGATATACATCCACTCTGCCAAAACCTGACATGAGTTATGATCATAGTGAATATTATAGGACATGTATCCCTACATAAGAAATCATGTGACCACAACAGGAGACCCATCTACAGAATATACAGATAGAAACTATAAAGGTTAAGACACTTTGACGATTCATGAGCAACAGCCCTGCTTTCAGAAGCTTAAAAAGTAGTGGGGAAAAAAGGATTGCAATCTCCACTCCAAAGATTACTACTTGGATCCTTCCAAGTTTTTATAATTAGTCAAGTAAAGAACACTTACAGTGTAAACTAAGACGATTGGAACTATAATGAGAAGAAAATCAAGAGACATTGAAGCCATGTAAGCTGCCCATCCCTTAGAACCAAGTACTGCATCATCATTTTTCTTTGATACGACATCTATTGGTAAAACAATCACATGAAAAAGATTAACATCAGACAAAAAATCACATGAAAATGATTAATATCAGAAACACAAACATATTAGCTGCAATGCACATCAAACAAGCTTGGAGATGAGAAGCTTATGGTAAAGTGAAGGGATCCGGTACAAATGCTAAATTAAATGAATCCATTTGGTGCCAAACTGTGTCCGCTAACACGTGCGCACACACAGGAATGCAGCAACAACAAGTTTACACAAGCAATGTTTAGTTCAATAACCAAACAATTACAAGACCATATTTTGGTAAGTTGAGAATAATTAGGAGAAAAAAAAAGTTTGATTGGTAAAGCAAAAGTCCTTGTGGCTTACCGACGGCACGATGAGAGCCAACTGAGTGCCGGAGAAGTATCAGAATCTAACAACAACGTATAAACACATGAGCATTTTTTTCTAAATTTAAGAAATGCTAGACGGAAAGAAAAATGGAAGTCTGAAATTAGGTTATATTTACAGGGATTATCGTGGTAAGTGCGGCAATCTCCATCATCGACGATCCACTCAAATTGCTCACAAATCTGAAAAGTCATCAAATTCCCCAAAAACAAAGTTAAATTAAATCAACACAGTTTAGTGAAACAGAGGATGTTAGAGAGAGAGAGAGAGAGAGAGAGAGAGAGAGAGAGAGAATATTAACTCTTCTTTGAGACGTTTGTTTGGATTGAAGGTGTTGGGAAGAGAATCCATGGATGAAAGAGAATAGAGGTGAACTTCGCCGGAGGATTTTGTGCTGGCCGGCGGCAGAGGTTTGAGTCTCACTAACTGGTTTTACGATTCTTCTTTGTCCCAAGTTATCCTACTGCTATTCTTCAATTTACATGCATAGCCATTGGGCTCATTTTTGGTTCATTATTATTAATATTATTTTTGAGAAGGATAGTGCTACCCACCTTATTTTTACCTTCCACACAGTGATTGATCTTTTTCAATTCATCCAACTCGACGGTTAAAAATTAATAGAAATGTAAAAAGTAAAAATGAATTTAATTTTGCATTCCAAACTTTTTATATTTAGAAAGAGAAATATTATTATGAAGAGCACAATTAGATTTTTAAAGTGCAAATAATACTTCTCTTATGTTTTTAGGAAAAAAGCCCATTAAATTTTCTTTTCAAACTCAACAAAAAGGCTCATCTCTTGTAAATCCCAACCACCGTGTCTAATGCTAATTCTTGGCAAATATGATGGGCAAAACTTATATCACATTATCACTTAACGAAAAACTTGACGGAAAACCTAAAACAGAAGTATTAAAGTGTCAGAAAAATCAAAGTTTAGGCATGAAACTAAGACAGAAAAAAAAGAAGGATAGCAGAGTGTGAATTTCACAATACTTGATAGTAGTAACGTGAGGATAACCGTATAATAAAATACGACCTTTTTCTAACAATACTCTCAATCACCTAATTAAGGTGTCGTGAGCAATGTCAAGCCCCTAAGCAATCTCTCTTTAAAGACATGATTCCTTTTAAAGACTATAAAAGTTATTCTCAATTGCTTAGTACATTGGTCGTGAATTTACTGATGGTTGCAAGAAGACGGAAGATGAGATTATTGCAGCATGTTGAGTCCTTAAAAATAATATTTGAGACTAGGTCATTGGTTTTGCATTGAACTTGGACGTTCGACAAGTGCTTGAAGCCAAGGTATGGGAAGTTGTGCATCTAATTAAGAGCAGCTTTCACATTGGGATGTCAAGATTATATTAGCCACGTATGGAACTGCACTATTCAATGGGAAATGTTAAGAAAACTTTCCATAAGTAGAACTGTTCAGGAATTTTCTGTCATCTCATAATTTACTGTTAATTTTCGTGTCAACATTATAAAATATTGTGCCAAAAACATGAGGTGGCAGAGAGTCTATGAAGAGTCTCACTTTTAAGAAAATCTCCTTAGCATATCTCTTATATATTCAACATATCGACAGAGAATGTAATATGGTGCCAGACCTTCTTGCTGATCTAGGATGCATACTTGAGTTTCGTGGCCCTTGTATTAGATGCCATTCGAAAGATGATTAACTAGATGTTTTTAGGGCTCGTACCATGTTGGTAATTCCTGATCTAGCAAGACGCTAAGCAGCAAACTAAGGTAATTAAGAGCAAATGAGCTATGAAAAACCGACTAAAATGCATTTGCGGTAGCATCTAAATGGCTAGCTACCCACCCTAATGTATATATTTGGGAAATACAAGAACAAAACTAATCAAAATGGAAAAGTTTGAAGAAAATAAACAAAAATAGTTAAAACACAGAAGCTAATTTGTTAATATCTTCTCCACCGGCGGAGCCGGAGGCCTCTCCAAAGCGGGAAGCACCTGCATTGTCTCTTTGATGAGAGAACTCCCCAAATGTAGTACAGCTTCCTGTCCAGTTATGATGTCCTCTTATAAGTTTAATCTTCACATGCTCTGGCAATCTCAGCGTATATCTATCCTCTTGTGCTCTAGGCCTAACTATGGAGTGCCCCGTTGAATGCGACCGTGAAAATCTTTCGGTTTCATTCTCTTCATTTCGATCATGATTCTGATCGTGATCTTGATCTAGATCTCGATCTTGAGTAGTGCTACTGCTATTTTGCTCACCTTGTGAAACCATAATGTTATTACTACTGTCATTACTTCCTTGATGACAATGATCTTGGCTTTGTTCATCTTTAATGTCAATGCGGACAGCATCCAGATCCAACAACACTGATTCATGCCCAACATGAATGTCTTGCATGGCGTCGTTCTCATGAGCAAGCACCGGAGACTTGTCCGCTAAACTCGGGGCTACTACTTCGAGATTTCCACGGCAAAACGGACAAGTTTTATGAGACTCGAGCCAAAGGTCGATGCAATCTTTGTGGAAAACATGGCAACACGCGGTCAAGAGGCGTAGCATGCTGTCGTCCTCAAACTCCACCAAGCAAATTGCGCATTCTAGGCCGTACTTCTCGATCCGGAAATCTTTGACACTTGCGTACTCGAACGTTGGAAATGATTGTATGAGTGAGACGTCAAGGCCTTCTTTGGGGACAACCGCCGTGGCCACAAGGTCTCCGGAGGGCGTGTGCTGAAGGGAGGTAAGGATGTGATCCAAGAAGCACTTGCAAAAGTAAATAGAAAAGAAACCCACAAAGAAGAAGACAAGGAGGAGGACGGTCAGAACAACAATAATCGGAGGGGAGACGACATGTTGTACTGGGGAGTAATTCGCATTCGTGGTCGATGCTGACATTCCCTGCATAACTAAGACTAAGCAGCAATACCTTGATGTTAACCCTATGGCCGGAGATCGGCTTGCACTTCCGGCCAGCCCTAGTGCATAGATATTCCGAGACGACGGAAAACAACAATAATAGTAATAGTAATATTGGCGAGGCTACGAGGAGAAGAATGTGATGTTGTTTGAGTTGGTGTTGGGATCTGACTTTGTGTGTGTTGGATTGCTTCCTCCAGTCAGTCATTGGCAAGAGAGAAACAAGGAGGCATGCATGTTGTCAATGCATCTCCTCATGTTTTTGTGAGCATACAAAATTGTTGCCTTAATTTGGAATGTTGGTGATGTGGAAGTCTCTGGTAAGAAGAACCAAAACTTCTGAGCTTAATTTGAGCGAGTCCTTGTGAGAAGGATGGGGCTCAACTAATTACTCTCTTCACTAGTATTCCAAACCACCAATACATTTATCACCAAATCCCACCAATACACACACACGCGCACGCGCGTCTGAACTAGAATTCAGAGACATTTTCTAACGCACATTTTGTCACTCTTTCTTGTAGACTAGTAGTTCCCATTTCGTCATTTTAGTGTTTAATTGTAAAACCGTATTCATCCATTTTCTTTACTATAAATGAATGTCTTAATAATTTGATATTTGTCTAATTTTTGCAAAGATGATCTATGAATGATGAATTGAAATATAAACAGTTCAGATGCTTAAAAAAAGTTACAAAATGAGAATCGTGTGTCAAAATGTGAGTAAAATTGTGCCACCCAATCCTAACCCTATATATACACCAAAAACCGCCAATATGTTGCAGGACAAGGATTGTCTGCCCTCCGACTTCCGGTGCCCTCCCATGCCCTCCTGTTTTGTGTGGTCACGATTAAATCACGTCAACATTTTATATTGTTTTTTTAATAGAGATAATAAGACAAAAATAAATAGTAATATAAAATGTTGACGTGGCGTAACCGTGACCACACAAATAGGAGGGCATCGGAAGTGAGAGAGCATACAATCCTTGTCCTATGTTGCACCACCATCTCTGGCTCTTGGTGCAGTGGCAGTACTTCTCTTTCCAATTTTGCAAAAAGTCCCAAATTCGAATCTTCCCTACCGATTCATTGAACAAGACAAATTCAGTCATCTTATGTTATTATGCAAGTCATCTGAGAGAATAATGTTTCAAACAGCAAGAAAGAACCTCAAAAGGCAGAAGACCAGATACAAATATTATGACTAATTCGAGAATAGGGAATGCAAGATGAATAACTTATTTAACTGATAGTTCGAACAAAGTGTTACAAGCTAAGGACCGTCGTCTCTTCCGGACAACGAAATGTCTGTCACATAATTATATATGGAACCAAGAACCGGTCGATACTAAGACTAGGAGAGTGATACAAAGCTTCAAGTTCTATCTGTAACAACAAAATTCTCACATGAAATAAACACATGGGACGTGAATTAACACGCCCGGCATCAACCTGAACTTGAAGCGAGGATACAGAAACTTCTACAGAAAAGTTACAGTTACATGATGGTACCATAATCTCTTACAAAGACTAGGTATCTATTTTTCTATCTAATTCCAGGAAGGATAATGTAAGCGACCGCATTGCATTGCAGGCGACCAATCCCAAATTCTATTCGATGTCATCAATCCAGTCACCATATATCCTACTGATTTTGTCTGGTCCCTTCCATTTCTGATGGGCTCGCGGCCCTGATCTCTGAATTACAATGGATGATCTTTGTGACGGGACTCCAAGGTGATAAACATCAGAATGAGAAACTAGAGGGACTGATACTACCACAGCATCTCCTGGAGTTTTCGAAGGCATTGCTCCCTGCTTATTGTCAGGGGCGACTGAAGAAGAATCTCTAGTTTCTCCCTCCACAAGCCCACCACCATACCGGTGTAATTCTGCAGTCAGAATTTCAGAATATCAAAGTCAGATACTGAAATCGTTATACAATTAGTCACGAGAGATATTGCACACGCTCGAACCAAAACAGAAAAACAATCCTCAGATAGCGGGAGACAAATCATCCATGTTCCAGACAATACATTAGCATGCTACTCTTCAGTGGCAGAAAAGTTTTAAGTCCAACAGATGATGTCAAGTGCTTTCACATAAGAGCATATTTGCATTTATTGTCAACTAAGCGTGAAGACTCGTTAACTTAACAGAAATATCACCATGCAAATTTGTATGAACACTTTCTTTTCTTTCATTTTTTTGCCAGAACTTGCACCGATACGTCAGTAGCCAATAAACTAAAATTTAGAGAAAACAAGTAAACAAACAAATGCACTATCTACTATCACTACCAAACAAGCTCATAATACAACAGTAAGCACTGCATAGCCAAACTAGATCAAGTTGTACAACAATAGTATGCATCTACGTGATCCTTGCTTAAGCTTTATATCTTGTGGGTAAATTCCATCTGTGCCTCCTCTCATGGAAGATGCAGGATTTTTCCTAGATTTTGATGCACAAGTCAAACCACCAATGACCAAAAGTTGATCAGCTCAAAAGTGTGGGCTGGCCACATCCTCTTAAGCTTGTCCCTAATTTGAATTTATCCCCATCTGTATACCTGGTCAGGTGATATACATTGGTGGTTTACCACTATTCCCAAAACCTTAAGTTCTTAGGAATGTCAATAAACTAACCCATCTCACATGCAAGCCCATTCTGCACGTGGGGAGGGAGAGGTATTCAGAGACAGAAGCATACAGGTCCAGCCCCACTCTGCACCTTGTAATCCTACAATGAACTGAGAATGGGGATTAGATTTTGAACCAAGGACCTGCTAGACAAACAGATCCCAAAACTTTAAGCTGTTAGGATGTGAAGCCAATATTTGTTTTAAACATTAACAGTGGGAAAACGCCCCATGTTTCTGAGAAATTTCCACTGAAGACACTAGAAAGAGAGGATTTGTCTTCTCCCTCGTTAAAGACATGATTGGAGTAAGAAACTTATATAGCTTGTGTTTGTTTATAAAGCCCACATCAATGTCCTCTCAAATAGGAGGAATAAAAAGAAAAAAGAATATTACTAAGAATATCTGTCTTCTTCTCATAAGTTTGTTAGTATCTAAGAAACAAATTATAAGCGCGCACATATATATGCTCAGAGGCAGATCCAGACAATAAGAATTCCACAACTATCTCGGTGTCAGCAGTGTAGAGTCGATACACCATCTCATTCTCTACCGCTAATTATGTTGAAGCTTTGTTTCTTCTAATCTTATGGAGGCTCAGGTGGTATGTTTTAAACAAGCAATGAAAAAAATGGAATAGAGCTTCTAACTAGGAACTTCCCTAGCCTACAATAAAAGATGCTTTTATTAATAATTCCCATAATACGAGTGGCCTTCTTAGTTAGACTTAAGCCTCTTTTGGACTGATTGTTCCGTACCAGCCTCTCTGTTAAGGTTTTTTTTTTTTTAGTGGGTTGGGGAACAGCTCCAGAACCCCTGATGACTTGATGATTGTTCGAGGGTATTATTCAGCTGTTCTTCCTTCCTAATCTCTAATCATACTCATGTAAAATTATATTAATAATTAAGAGACAGACAAACTATTCAGTTGTCCATATCAGCATAGGCAACTTCAATAACACCACGGTTCAAGGCCATAGATAGTTTAGAAAAAATGAAAGATAGAAGAGATTAGGGGAGAAGTTCACACTTTCCTGTCATAACCAATAACATAGGTGGACGAGTAAGCAATAATTCAACAATTTAGCTTGCATATTTCTGCTCAGGAACCTCTTCCTCTAAATTCCCCTATAGATTGGGTCAAATAAAGGATGGGATGAGTGGTTTTGAATAAAACCTCATGATCTTGCAATCCAGAACTTCTGTCCTAACATCAGAATTGGGCTTTCCCAGGCTCTCTATGAAAGACAACAGAACACAGAAAGGTGTTGACAAGCATCTTTGCTTTATGACGAAAAAGAAATATTAATGCGTCAATGTTTCTTTTTGTGTGTGTGTGGGTGGGGTGGTGGTGGGGGGGGGGGGGGGGGGGGGGGGGGGGGGGGGGTTGGGGGGTTGTGGTGTTTGAGGAAAGGAACACGGGTAACTAACTCTTTGTTAATGATGCACCAAAACAAGAAGTAAACGAGTACAAATTTTGAAACTATTGGAAAATAAACTCAAATAGTAGTTGCCATAATTGAATCACTATAACATACTCAGTTTCTTCGCAAAATCAAGAACAAAACAACAGCGGAAATTGAGAACATCAGGCATCCATGTAAAGAAACTGAAACCAGTATATATGGAAGCCCAAGCAAGACGGCTAGCTCTATTAAAATTTAAGTGAAAAATGACAACAAGGAATGATTTACTACTATAGAAATTGGATTATTCTCATCCTCAAAACAGATACCTATTAGAGCATGGAAAATTGCTGAATTTCAAAACTGGAGCTACAAAGACAAACACTAGCCTACCTAAAGAATTAACATCAATTGTTTTCGTTGTCTAAGAAAAAATGGAAAAAGTAAATGAATCATACCTGCTACACCATGAGCAAAATGGCATTTGCTTCCAAATGGGCAATATCCTGTCAATTCCCACTTATTGCAAATCCTTGTTTTCCAGTTTGATGGCTTGTTATTTGCTCCATTCACAGCAGCAGCAGCACCGCCATATCCTCCAGGACCTAAACTTATTGCCACACTCTCTCGATTCTTTGACTGCTCATCATGAAGAAAAGTGCAATTATCCCCATAAGAACACCCTTCCTCAGTATAAAACTTCTTGCAATGCCTCCCTTTATAGGATCTTAGAGTCTCCACACCATAACCTGTAGAGACGATTGGAATTTGATACTCTTCCCTTGGCTCTGAAGATACAGCCTTTTCTTCCTCATGGGCAGCCACAATATCTTGCCAATTTGGTGGCGGTCTCCGAAGCTCCTCAATGCTATGAGCAAAGTTACAATTGGTGACATAGGGGCACGTCCCAGCACGGAATTTGCAACAAAGTTTGGTTTTGAAGAACATTTTCCCAATGGCTTTCGACCGGTTAGATGAAGTTGCATCTTGGGAGTTCCTTGATTTCTTATTTGGAGGTTCGCTTCCAGAGCGACTTTGCGATTGCCTTTGATCATAACTTGAGTTGGACATGGTGTCCGCCATCGCATCACCATTATTCCAAACTCGGTACTCATCCTCCGTAGCCCAAACTGCTTGGTCACCAGACCAAATATCACCACCACTATTCCCAGTGATTACCTGGACCGCATTGCTGTCTCTACCATAATCCATTGGAATTTGGAAGTACAATTCCTCAACAACAAAGTAGAATGCTTGAAACAAAACAATACGGCTCTACAAAAACCCTAAGACCAAAATACCCACAAGCTGAATTCACCAAAATTCTATAAAAAAAATTCTGAAAATCCGAAAGAAAAAAAAACAACAATTGGGAAATGGGTATTTCAAAAACACATCTAACACACAAATTACAGAGCTTTTAGCTATGAAACTTCCCCAGAAAATAACAAGTACCCACTACTATTACTACAACAACAACAACAAGTACAAGAGATCAAAGCAAGATACAAAGAGGAGAAATAGGAAAGTGAAAGACTTTACCAAGTTGGAATTGCAGTTGGATCTACAGCCTCCAAATGTCCAAAAGATAATTGTCAGAGCAAAATGGGAAAGTGTTGATGCATAAATAAAGGGAAAGTGGTAGAGAAATTGATAGGAGCGATGAAATTAATGAGGCAACGAAGAAAGAAAGAATGAGAATTTAGATATAGATTTGATTCGGAGAGCCCCCAAGAGGAGGAGATTTCCCAAATTTTCACATTAAGGGTTGTAATTTCTGGAGGAAAGACTTGGACGAGATTCTCTACTTTTGTTCCATTTTTAACCATTTCTGGCCATTTCCTATTTTCTTTTCCAACTTTTTGTCTTTTACCACGGAAGACATCCTGAGCGTGCGTTTGTGTTGTAGGAGATTTTCAGGAAAATGTAAAATAGTTGGTTTTTCTGAATTTTTACTTTTCTTTTGGGCTGATTACACAGAGTAATTTATATAAAATGGATTTATCGTCACGAAGTGTTTTAATTTAATAATTCAATGTTTTGTATTTAAAATTTTATAAATATTTTTTTTTTATTGAAAAAAGACGCCACAGTAACTGTGGACACAGGAAAACTTACTCGTATCGTTATTTTATTAGATATGAGATGACATTAGTTTGCTCATTTCCGCTCATTTTAAAATTTTGTTTGACATATATTTTTTTTTCTTTTGGACAAAGGTAAATTTTATTACTAGACTAAGCAACCATACACAAGAGGTCCAAATACAAGTTAAGCACATCAAAAGAAATGAAACCCAAATTAAGCAACACAACAAGGGGCACAAACACACAAGTTGGAGCCCGAAAACAAAAACACACCAAACAAAAAACCTAGCGTTCTGCAAACACCGACATTGCATAAACAGAGCATCTCCACAAGTGTGATCCAACGCCCCCGACCACTACCAAGAATCCAAACCCTAGAAAAGAGGAAAAAGGAGACTCCAGCATCTTATATTACACACCACACCAAACACAACCACATATCGAAAGAAGCCAGTGGACAACCCTTCAGTGACAATGTCAATAAACGCAAATAGATAGAAGGTGGTGGTGTATACACTTGTGTCGAACCTCTACATAGCTTTTGGAAGAATCAGAACCAAGCACGGTGAAGAAGAATGATTGCAGATCAAAATTGAGGTTGAAATGATAAAGGTCGGAGCCAACTCGGAAAGGGAGTGGAGAAAATGGAAGATTCAAATTGAGGATGATCGACGAGAGACTTGGATGTGGATGGACATGCAAATCGAAAATGGGTCTAGCGCTGAATAGCAAGGGCGCGATGGCATGGCAAACAAAAGTAAAAAGAAGCAAATGAAAACAAAAAGACAGAAGAAAGAGAAGATAAATAACATGAAATGACTATCACCTATCTTGGTCACATCTAGGGTTGGCAACGACGCGGTTGATGAAAACTAAAAACACTCACATGACGGTGAAAAAGCTCCCACAAAAAGAGAGAAGTACTCTCACAGACGGAGCGCAATAACTTTTCTGGTATCATTATTGCTTATATAATTTTAGTTTTGACCATCAAAAGCATCTATTTTACATGCTACTTAGTTGATTAAAAACATTTAGCGCTCAATGTCATGTTGTTTCTTATGTGTTTGATTCTATCTCCTTCAAAAGAAAATATGTTCTTTATTTAAAATTACAATCAACTGAAATTCGTTGAATTTTCCATATAAAATAAATCGAAAAATGAGCTTAACAACACATAGATAGCATGCAAATGGCTAAAATAAACGTTTTGAGTAAAGAGAATAGCATATAATAATGTCATATTCGTCACATGATAGATAGAATCAAGGGCTCTTTTAATTTAGATACCAATTTTAAGAAAGTTTAGATACGAATGAAGAAGTCAACCAAAATAATTGTATAAATACTATTGTAATTAAAAATAAGGAAAACTAACGAATATGACTTGACAACCTTGAGTTTTAATGATAATGACAAAATAAAGAATAAAGTGAATGGTACCATGATTGACTTTTTAGTGTAAAAATGTGATTTTTCGTTAAAGTGAACAGTACCGATAGTTTTTCATTAAAGTTCGTAAAAATAATTACATGGTTGCTCAATCCTATCACGTTTTCCAACCAACCAAGTTTTTAAGCGATTAGATGATCAATTTATTTGGCGACCAACCGATCAAATTTTTCCGATCTCAAGGTCACTAACAGTTACTTTCAAAAAACATGTTAACATAAGAATTTTTTTATAAGTTCTGAAATTTTATTCTGTATATATGTAAAAATAATAATAAAATCACATAACAAACATAAGTTACAGTTATTGCTATTTTTTATGTCACTATTAAAAAAATGACTTGAAGTCATTACCTTTTTGCATTAGTAATGGATGAGTTAACTAGACATATTCAATATGATATCCCTTGTTTTATACTTTTTGCAGATGATATAGTGTTGATAAATAAACGCATGGGGGAGTAAATGAGAAGTTAAACCTTTGGCGGGAAGTGTTGGAATCTAAAGATTTTTGCCTAAGTAGGTCAAAGACAGAGTATATGGAGTGCTGATAGGAGCATATTCATGCGACTTAAATGGCTTGTTCTCGTGCATTTACGTTATGTTTCTTTAGTTATTTTAGTCCTTTATGCTTCTTTTGTGTGTTTTCAGGTTCTAAGGGCAAAGTATGCAAAATGGTGCATTTTGGTGCATTTTGGAGTAGTTTGGGGCGTTAAATGGATTGCATATACTTGAAGCCAAGTAGATGGACGAAATTGAAGACCAAAAGAGGCCCTTTGTACCAGAAATTCACACCAACACATCCCATTTCAGATTGCATTCCAATCATTCCAGCCAAGCCACATGCACTCCCTTTAATTTAGTCAACCTAGCTGTCAAAGCACATGCACATTCACCCTAATCATTCACATACACAATCTGCCATCATTCACACATTCATTCCACATGCATTCCCTTCACAAATCAGCCACATGCACTTTGCCTTTCATCATTGCACTATAAATCAGCCACATGCACCCATAATCATTCAATCAACTTTGCACATGCATTCATCATCATAACCTAGCTGTCATTACCCTTTAATCACATGCATAAATCAGCCACATGCATCTCCCATCACCATTCCAGATTTCCACCAAGTTCCTAGCTGTCATATTCCCTCATTTTCACCTATAAATAAGCATCCATTGTAGCCACAATTCATTCATTCCCATTCATACACAATTCATTCTTCCATACACATTTCAGTCACAAACACCAACCATTCCCTTGTGCCGTGGCCTCCTCCTTCCATTTTCACCACTCCCTAAACCATTCACACCATCAAACTATCCTTAGACCTTGTGCTACAACGAAGAGGAAGATAAGAGGGCCTAAACGTTCATACAATTCAAGTTTGAGTTGTTGGAATGTTTAGGTGTTTCTTTGATTTCAATGTTTAATTTCAATACTCTTTGTTTTGTACGAATGAGGAATGGAAGAGAAGAGGGCCTAAACGTTCATACAATTCAAGTTTGAGTTGTTGGAATGTTTAGGTGTTTCTTTGATTCTCTTTGTTTTGTATCATGAGGAACTAAACCCCCCCCCCTTGGCTAGGGGGGATTCGAAATATATGTTTATGCTTGCAATATGATTTGATTACTTCTAATTGCATTTCATAAGTTGTGGATTCAATTTGTTTAACTGTTTGATTGATAACTTATTTATGTATGTTTATTGAGAGTACACGCTTAATTTTCATGCATGAATATGACGCTAGAATATAAGTGAGTTTCACCTAATAGTTACGAACTTATATTCACAAGTAGTGGAGGTTGCTTATAAACAATCGCGTTAAACGAATTCTTGGCATAAGTTTCATGCAATCATAGTAACGAATGCCTCGTCAACACTTATAATTTTCATAGAGCGTAATGATTCTTGCTTGTATCTCTATTATGCAATCATGTAGGGGACTTGTGGGGAATGTTTTGGGTTGTCGTATGCAATCATCCAATTCAATAACGTTAGGAAGATTTGAAGGTTAATTAGTGCATCACGGTTAACTCGGGGTGTGGAGAATTCATGGTTTATTGAAATGCAATTGGAAATCTTTTTATTATGCAAGTGTAACATGTGTGGAGATGAACCCCTTAGCTAGTCATCCCATCCATTCAAATCCATCACATTCATATTTACATTCTGTTTTTAATTAGAATCTGTGCAATTAGTTTAATTTCGTCCAAAACTCAATCCCCCCTTACTTTAATGTCCAAATTAGTTAGAAATCAATTTAGTTTGTGTTTTTAAGAGTCTTGAGTCAAGTTACAACTTAATTTCGTCCAAATTTGGGTTTAAGGTCAGAAACTGCCTAGTTAGTGTTTTTAGGCAGTTTTGAGTCTTTTGAACTTGTTTTGAGTCCTTTGAGTCTTTGTATTGTTCAAATTAGTTAGAAAGTGTTTTGGTTTGTGTTTATAAGTGTTTTGATTCAATTTGTTACCCAAATTCGTCCAAAGTACTCAAAGTGCTCAAAACTGCCCAGAAAGTGTTTTTAAGGCAGTTTTGAGTGTTTTGGTGCTGTTTTGAGTCTTTTGGTTTGTTTTAGTGTTTTAAAGTTTAGTTTTGCATTCTTTGAGTCTAGTAGAGTGTTTTATATTGTGTTTTTACGTTTTTGAGTAAAATCCAAGTGATTAACAATCCCTCCTAATCCCCGGTCCTGAACGATCCCTACTTACATTCTATACTACAATTGTCAAAAAGAGGGTTTAATTTGTGTGCGTATAATTCTCGCATCAAGTGCAAGTTCGGTGAGAATGTGGGTTCAAATGAGATAAGGGTGAGGATTGCAGACATGAAGTACCAAAGAGTGAGCGCTTTCGTTATCTTGGATATATCTTGCAAAAGAGCAAAGAATTGGATGAAGATCTTAACCATAAAACACAAGCTGGATAGATGAAGTGGACAAGTGCATCGGGAGTATTGTGCAACCGACATATATCACCAAAACACTCGAGGGAAAAATTTTACATGTGAAACCCCGTACCCAGATTTCACAATTCAATGTTTCGTATTTTACAATTATGGGAATTTATTTTATTTTCATTAAATTTAGAATTTTTGTATATATTCATTAAAACCTCGTAGACCTTTCGAGGTCACCTTTTTTTTTTTAATAGAACTCGACTCGAAGAGTGCATAGGCGAAACTGTTCACAAAACAGAATTGTACAGAAGGAGAAATTAGCGAACAAAGTTAGGGGCATTTTCATCAATTGGGATTTATTTATGTGGAGGGCTCCAAGATGGTAGGA